ATACATATGTATTATATATAGATCTTGTAAATATTTATAATATATATGTATATATAATATACACATTTATATAATATATATACGTATATATATAATATATAATGTATTAAGAGTGTTTTGCCTACATGTATGTGTATGTGCCATATTTGTGTAGTGCCAGGGAGGGCAACAGAGGGCATCAGACCCCTTGGAACTGGAGTTATAGATGGTTGTTATAGACTCCCCTGGCCTGTTTTTTTTTAAATATTTTATTTATTATTATTATTGTATGTGTATGAGTGTATTGCCTGCATGTGTGTCAGTGCACCCGTGTTGAGCAATGCCCGCGGAGGTCAGAAGAAGGTGTTGGATTCCCCCGGAACTGGAGTTACAAATGGTTGTTAGCCACCATGTGGGTGCTGGGAATTGAACCCGGGTCCTTTGCAAGAGCAGTCGGTGCTCTTAACCGTTGAGCCATCTCTCCATCCTGGGCCTGGTATTTTTTAATCAATAAAGAATTCAGGGACTGGAGAGATGGCTCAGCAGTTAAGAGCACTTACTGCTCTTGCAAAGGACCTGGATTCAGTTCCCAGTACCTATGTGTCTATTGTCAACTGCCTGTTAATTCCTGTTCCTGCTGCCCTCTTATGGCCTCTGTGGCCATTACATGCATGTGGTATATTTACATATATGCAAGCAAAACACTCATATACAAAGAATAAAGATAAATAAACGCAAAACCCAGGCCAGACATAGTGCTGCATCACTATAATCCTATCACTTGGGAAGCCAAGACGATAGTCTGAGGCCAGCCTAGACTATGTTTACACATTTTGTAGTGGTGCAGTTCAAACAGGGCCTTGTGTATGCTAGAGAAGCACTCTGTCAACTGAGCTACATCCACACCCCCCTTGACCTTTCTTAACTCTAAATATAATTCTATTATTTTCTTGTTCTAGATAAATAATAAGGCTGCAACTGGAGAGGAGGTTCCCCGTACCATTATTGTAACCACCCGTTCCCAGTATGGGCTACCAGAAGATGCCATCGTATACTGTAACTTTAATCAGTTATATAAAATTGACCCTTCTACTTTGCAGATGTGGGCAAATGTGAGTATATGTAGAGTCATTATTCATGTTTAGATTATGTAGATAGGCTGTATTGCCGAAACTGTTCCCCTTTTCTTATTCAGGAGCTATTGTGCTCATTTCTAATCTTCAAGAGTTACAGATTTTTTTCAGTGATATTTGTTGCTTTTGAGGTAGAGTCCCATGTACCCCTTGCTATGTAGCAGAGGATAACCTTGAACTTCTGATCTTCCTACCTCTACCTCCTGAGTGCTGGTATTATAAGAGTGTTCTACCATATCTGCTTTATGTGGTGCTGCGGGGACAGGCTGAACCCAGGGTTTTTTGCATAGTAGGCAAGCAATCTACCAACTGAGCTACATGTCCAGCCACTTTTAATTAGTTTTGATTTCTCCTTCTTGTATCTTATTTTCTTCTAATATTTGGGATCAAGCTCAGGGCCCCTGTACATAGTAGGCAAGCTCTATCACTGAACTATATCCCTAGTCTTCCAGTTTTTTAATTTCATATTATAAGATATTTTATTTACATATTCTAAGTATTCTGCCTAAATCAGAGGTCAGCAAACTTTCTTTTTTTTTCACTTTTCTTAAATTTTATTTATTATTTTTATTTTATGTGTATGCGTGTATTGCCTGCATGTAGGTAAGTGCACCCATGTTGTGCAGTGCCCGCGGAGGTCGAAGAGGCTGTTGGATCCTCTGGGTTTGGAGTTACGAACAATTGTTAGCTGCCGTGTGGGTGGTGGGATTCGAACCCAGGTCTTCTGCAAGAACAACCAGTGTTCTTAACCATTGAGCCATCTCTCCAGCCCCAACAAACTTTTTCTTAAAGGATCAGATGTAAATATTTAAAAATTTGTGACCAATAATCTGTCACATGTTTTACCTCTCCCACCGCAGTGTGAAAATGCCCTAAACGGTATGTAAATGATCTTGGGTCCTTACATGTCAATTAAAAAAAAATTATTTATTATTTGTATTTTATGTGTAAGAGTGTATTGCCTGCATGTATTTGAGTGCACCTGTGTTGTGCAACATGTCAATTTTTATTTATAAATACTGGCTGCATTCCAACTCCTGACCTACACTGATAACAAAAGTTGCTCTGTGTGTCCACCCATGTTTTAACATTTTTTCAATATTGTAGAGTTAAAGCCAGAGCAGAGTTAATTGAAGCCATCACTTCTTAGCTCATGAGACTCATTTGCAGAAGCACATATTGAATATCTGGTCCACAAAAATGAAATGTTGTGTTTTATCGTTATGTAGTTGGAAAAATTTCCTTGGTTGACATACATATACATATATGTGTGTGTGTATGATATATATAATTGTGTGTGTGCGTGTGTGCGTGTGTGTGTCCGTGTTAGCTGTTTTTTCTTAAAGAAAACCATAAGGAAGCAGATGACTAAAACTGCCTCTAAATCCTCATTTTCCTTAAAAATATGAAAGCAAAATTTAACCAATATTAGGTTAATTTTAGGTATATTTTTAAAATTTTGTTTATGTGTATGAGTGTTTTGCCTGTACATCTGTAAATTCACCTTTGTGTGTAATGGGCATGGAGGCCAGAAGAAGGCATTCAGATCCCCTACAACTGGAGTTACATACAGATGGTTGTTAGCTGCATGTGGGTGCTAGGAATTGATCCTGGGTCCTCTGCAAAAGCAGCCAGTGCTCTTAATCACTGAGCCATCTCTCCATCCCCTTACATTTCTCAGAGAAGGAATTGTGAAGTTTTGTGATATACTGAATAAATACAGTTCTAAATCATGAATTGGTAAACTGACCTATGCACCAAATCCACTGGTTGGTTGGTTGGTTCTTTTTGTGACTGATGAGACAGAGTCTAGGGCCTTACACATGCTAGGCAAGTACTGAGCTATATCCCCAGTCTCATGTTGCTTGTTTTTATAGATAAAATTCTATTGGCTGAAGGACCACTCAAACATGTTTATATACTGTCTATGACTGCCTTCAAGCTACAAAATAATTGAGCTGTTATCAAAGAGTCCGTGTGGTCACAAAGCCAATATTTTCTCTCTGGCCTTTATAGAAGTCTACTGCCTTCTGATCTAGGGTAGGCAAGTTTGGCAAATGTAACTTAGTGTTCCTTATAATGTGGGAGATTTAAAATTTGAAATACTGGCTATGGTAAAATGTGCCTGTACTTCAAGCTACTCTGGAGGCGGAGATGGGAAAGTTGCTTGAGCCCATGAGTTTGTGATCAGCCTAGACAACTTTAAAAAATATATATGTATTATGTGTATGAGTGTATTATCTGCATGTATGTAAGTGCACCCTTGTCATGCAGTCCCTGTGGAGGTCAAAAGAGGGTGTCAGATCCCCTGGAACTATAGTTATAGACAGTGGTTAACCACCAGGTAGCTGCTAGGAACCAAACCCCGGTCCTCTGCAGGAGCAGCCAGTGGTCTTAACCGCTGAGCCATCTCTCCAGCTCCCAGCCTAGACAACTTAATGAGACAGAGGGAGAGGTTCATGAAACCTCCTTTAGGAGCTATTGGCAGTTAATGATTTCTGAGGAAGGGGGAGACATTTTTCTTCACTGGTGGAGCCACTGCAGTTGCTTGTGCTTCTGTAAATAACCTCTCACCCATGCTCAGGCCGGCAAGCTTAGTTAAAGTAGGTGGATCATAAAACACAGAAACCAGAGCAGCAGCAGTAAACATAAAAGTAGGAAGGCATTCAGTGAACATGGAAGAGTGATGAAAATGGCCTTATTGTATAGGTACATGGAATTGTCAAAGAATTAGAAAATGTAAATTTACAAAAGCAAAAACAGCAAAACACACTTAAATTTTGAGATGCAAGAATTCCCATCGCCAACAAAAACCACTGCCTGCATTAATTCCCACAGGCCAGAGCTGCCTCTGGTTGTGCCAGTCAGTAACCGGTTTATGTCTTCTAATATCATTCTTTACCCTTTCTTCAAACTCTGTGGAGACAGCTGAACAGAAAAGGACTAATTCAATTGATTTAATTCATCTGTGTGAAAGAAAGTCCTAGATTCAGAGCAGACTTTTTGTTTGTTTGAGAAGAGACCCTATTCTGTAGTAGAGGAATGACCTTGAACTTCTGAGCTCCTGCCTCTACCTAAGTGCTGGGATATGCAACCAGACCAGTTGACTGGTGCTGGAGGTCAAGGGCAGGGCTTTACCTGTGCTGGCAAACTACCACCAACTGAGCCACAGTCTCCCGCCCCTAGTAGGCTTCTCCATGGAGAGAAGAGGGTGAAGAAGGATGATTTGGGGCAGATGCACTGTTAATATTCTTGCTCTTTTTTTATTAGATTCTGAAACGTGTGCCTAATAGTGTGCTTTGGCTGTTGCGTTTTCCGGCAGTAGGAGAGCCCAATATTCAACAGTATGCACAGAACATGGGCCTACCCCAGAACCGTATCATTTTTTCACCTGTTGCTCCTAAAGAGGAGCATGTCAGGAGAGGTCAGCTGGCTGATGTCTGCCTGGACACTCCCCTATGTAATGGGCATACCACAGGGATGGATGTTCTCTGGGCAGGAACACCCATGGTGACTATGCCAGGTAAGTTGCTGATAAATCATTGCATTCTTCCTTTAAAAAAAAAAAATGTGTCGAGTGTTTTGCTTGCATGTAAGTGCGCCCAAGTTGTGCAATGCCTGTGGAGATCAGAAGATGGCATCAAATCCCCTGGAATTGGGTGGTTGTTACCTGCTGTGTGGGTGCTAGAAACTGAACCCAGGTCCTCTGCAAGAGAAGCCAGTGCTCTTATCCTTTGAGCCATCTCTCCAATCCCTCTTCCTTATTCTTTAAAATTTTCTTTTGGGTCAGAAGGGTGTACTTCAAAGTGAGATTGTATATACTAGAAATAATATTTACGGCAGGATGTTAAAAAATGAGACTTGTTCAAATTGAATTCTTGGCACTGTTCTTCCCATCTGTACTGTGTGGATACTTAATGGAATCAACACTGATGACTGTGTGGTGTTCACATTTCTCAGATATGCAATTACCTTTCACATTATAGGAGAGACTCTTGCTTCTCGAGTTGCCGCATCTCAGCTCACTTGCTTAGGATGTCTTGAGCTTATTGCTAAAAACAGACAAGAATACGAAGATATAGCTGTGAAATTGGGAACTGATCTAGAATAGTAAGTAAATTTCCACAAACAAATTATATGTTAAGATATAGCTATTGTAAAATGAAGCCATAAATTTAATTTAAAGTAGGTGAATTAGTTGTATGGTCTGTTTAAGTAATCACTAGACTTTAATAACATAAAGACTAGTGGGGCGTGGTGGCCCACACCTTTAGTCCCAGCACTTGGGAGGGAGAGGCAGGTGGAGCTCTGTGAGTTCAAGGCCAGCCTTATCTACAAAGTGAGTTCCAGGCCAGCTGGGGCTACAGGGAGGCCCTGTCTCAAAAAGACCAAAAAAAAAAAAAAAAAATGGTTTCACTAAGAAAAGTAAAAGGGAATAAAGGAAAGTATTTTCTTTTATATGTGTGTGGGTTTTTATGCCATAGCATATATGTAGAGGTCATAGGACAACTTCCAGGAGTTAGTTCATGATTTCTGAGGATCAAACTCAAGTTGTCAGGCTTGGTGGCAAGCACCTTTACCTGCTGAGCCATCTACAAGAAAAATTTCCGCTTTTCTAGTAGAAGTGCCATTGGCAAATTGATATGACACTTGTTTTAAGAACCTTAAAATATGTCAGACATTTGAGCTTGATACTTCTTCACAGTAGGATAAAACAACAACAAAAAAACAGTTGCCTGAAAATGAATTAGAGGGATCACGCTAAGGTAAAGGAAGCTTGAACTATACAATGTAATGGTGTTTACATTTTTTCTCCTTATTTGTGGGTATGCTTTTTTTGTGGTGTTATTTATTTATTTTTATTTTTTGGTCTTTTTGAGACAGGGTCTCCCTGTAGCCCCAGCTGGCCTGGAACTCATTATGTAGACCAGGCTGGCCTTGAACTCACACAGCTCTGCCTGCCTCTATCTCCCAAGTGCTGGGATTAAAGGCTTGTGGTGCTTATTTTTAATGTAGTTTAAAAATATTTTTCTCATTTATTTTGTGTGTGTTGTATGTATGTGTGTGTACGGGCATGCACGTGGAGGTCAGAGGACAACTTGCAGGAGTCAGTTCTCTTACTTCATCATTTGGATCCCTGGGATTGAACTGAGATCACCAAGATTGGCAGCAGCTGTCTTCTTTTTTTTTTTTTTAAACCTGCTGAACAATCTTGCTGGCCCATAATATAGTTATTTTTTTTCAAGTCAGTATCTTACTGTATAGCCCATTTTGGCCTTAAACTGGAGCCTCCTGCATTAGCCTTCCAAACTCTGGGATTATAGGATTGTGCCACCATGCTCAGCTAAAATTAGGCTTTGCTTTGGGTATTGGGGTATCTTTTTTTGAGAAATAGCATGCTACATAGACACTAGGGAAATATACTCAAGCTGTCTGAATTTGAATCTATACCCCTCCCTTTACAGGCTTTGTGACTTTGGGCAAATTTAGATTTATTCGCCTTGGTTCTACACCTGTAAAACAAAATGGTGCTTAATGAATGGTAGTGTCTGCTTTGCAGATGTATTGTGAGGTTTTAAAAAGTGCTCCATGTGAAGTACTTAAAACAGCTCTTGGTGCATAGTAAGTACTCGACAAGTGTATTTAAATTTTTTCCATTGAACATCATAAACATATAACAAAACTAGAAATTTTAGCTCAGCCATTAAAGAAAGAAAAAAATGAAGATTCATGTCAGTCAACCTAGGAGTAGATATAAATACAGCAAACAATGTGTGTGTGAAGTTTTTTTTTTTTTAAAAGACAGGGCTCCTCTGTAAGTCCAGGCTGGCCTTGAACTCATTACATAGCCCAGGCTAGCCTTGAATTCCTGGTGTTCACTTGCCTTAACTGTCTGTTAGGATTATTTATATATATATATATATATGGTTTTTTTTTTTTAGGTCTTTTTGAGACAGGGTCTCCCTGTAGCCTCAGCTGTCCTGGAATTCATTATGTAGACCAGGCTGGCCTTGAACTCACAGAGATCCGCCTGCCTTTGCCTCCCAGTGCTGGGATTAAAGGTGTGCACCACCACACCCAGCAATCTGTTAGGATTATAAATGTATGATCACTGCTGCAGGTGGCAAAGCAAGAAGGAAAAAAACTGACAAGTTTGATGACAGGAGGAAGAATGAGTTGAGGATCCATTAAAAAGAAAATGTGGAGTTAGTCAATTAATACTGTTAAAATCTCTGAATGAAAATTAGCTGTGTTGTATCTCCAAGGTTTATGATGGTAAAGAAATGTCATAAAAATTTTATAGGGACAAACGCAGTAAATATAATCAATGCCCTTAAGGTAAATATTTTAGTTAGTTCATTGGAGAATAACACCAAATGTTCACTCTTGATTTTATTTATTATTTTTATTTTTTATGTGTATGAGTGTATCGCCTACATGTATGTGAGTGCACCCATGTCGTGTGATGCCGTGGCGGTCGAAGAGGGCTTGGATTTCCCTGGAACTGGAGTTAAGGACGGTTTGTAGCTACCATGTGGGTGTTGGGAATCAAACCCGGGTCCTCTGCAAGAGCAGTCAGTGCTCTTAACCACTGAGCCATCTCTCCAGCTCCTTTAATAGCTGTTTTGGAACTTTTAAGCACTCTCCTGTTGACACGGGATTTGAAGAACAAATATAGCGGGGCCAGGGAAATAGCTCAGTTGGTAAAGTGCTTACAAGGAAGACCTGAATTCTATCCCCAGAACCCATAGCGTTAAAAAAAAAAAAAAAATGATGGGCATGGTGATACATACATGTAATCCCAGCTCTAGGAAGGGGGACATGCTGTCAGCCTGCCTAGCGTATTTGGAGTGTTCCAGACCTGTGAGAGACCTGTCCAATAAAAAAAAAGACAAGAAAGATGGTGCATGGCACCCAAAGAATGACATTCAAGATTGTACTCTGGCTTCCATATGCACACAAACATATGTGTACATGCTTGCACACATAAACACACAGATATAGCCTATAGGGTCTTTTTCTTTGAAAGGTAGCATTAATAAGAAAGAACATGTTTGGATTGAGGGCAACTGATGCACAGCCATCTTAATATCTATCACAGCAAATATTAAAAACACCTTAAAAATGTTTATCTTTATTCTATGTGTATGAGTGTATTGCCTATATGTATGCAAGTGCACTTGTATCATGTAATGCCCACGGAGGTCAGAAGAGGGCGTTGGATCCCCTGGAACTGGAAATACAGATAGTTGTTAGCTGTCATATTGGTGCTGAGAATCGAATCTGGGTCATCTGCTAGAGCAACCAGTGCTCTAAACTGCTGAGCCATCTCTCTTGCCTCTAAAACATGTTTTAAATTATGGTTTTACAAGTGCACAGTGTGAGTCAGGTGTGGTGGTGCACTCCTTTAATCCCAGCACTTGGGAGGCAGAGACAGGTGGATCTCTGTGAATTCAGGGCCAGCTATAGTGAGTTTCAGGCCTGTCAGGACTACATAGTAAGACCCTGTCTCAAAACAAAACAAAACAAAAAAACCAAAAAATAGAAAATGAGCATACATATATTCAGAAGGGCATGAAGAGAGAAATACTTTCTCCTCCTATTTCTAGCAGCATTGATTGCTTTACTACCACCCCATATTTTGAAGCAGAATCATAGTCTGAGTGATATATATCTAAATAAATGATTCACTTCAGGTACAAGTAGAAAGTCATGGCAGTAGACATAGATCATTTCTTTTCCTTTTGAATATTTTGTTTCATTAATATCTCCATAAATGGGAGCTGGGAGTGGCGGTGCATGCCTTGGGAGCAGAGGCAGGTGGATATCTGTTAGTTAGCCTGATCTGGTCTACATAGTGAGTTCTAGGCCAGTTGTGCTACATAGGGAGACTCAAAACCAAACAAAATTCCATAAATGGACTGGTAAGATGGTTCATTGGGTAAAAGTGCTTGCTATACAAGCCTGACAACCTGAATTTGATCCCCCACCTCATGATGGAAGGAGAGAACTCACTCCTAAAATTCATCCTCTGACCTTCACACAAGTGCACACATACCCCCATTCGCAAACATTCTATAATAAGTTAAATTTTTTTAACTTTCTATAAACTGGGGGCTGGAGAGATGGCTCAGCAGTTAAGAACACTGGTTGTTCTTGCAGAAGACCTGGTTTGAATACCAGCACCCACATGGCAGCGAACAGCTGTCCGTAACTCCAGTGCCAGGGGATCTGACAGCCTCTTCTAACCTCTGCGGGCATTGCATGATATGTGTGCACTTACCTACATGCAGGCAATACACGCATACACATAAAAATAATAAATAAAAAAATTTTGAAAAAATTTTTATAAACTGCATCATTTTATTTTTGTGCCTTAACTATAAATGATGCTTCAGTGAACATCTTTGCATGATCTTCTGTATCTGCAATCTCTGGTTATTTCAAAAGAATATATTGAAAAATTGTCATTGATATGTCAGAGGGTTATGAACATCTAAAGTTGTTAATATACCCATTGCCAAATTGCTTATCCAAGACTAAGCAGCTTGTATTCTAATGGGTAGTACATAGGAATAGTCATGTGGCATTACCAGTTCTTACTATTTTTATTTACAGGTAAAAGTGTGATGAAATAGAGAAAGAATGTTATCTCTTTGATATACTTGTCTAGGAAAGAAAGTTTTTCAGAGGATGTGAGTGAACTTGATTATGCACATTAGCATTATGTTAACTGTGGCCCTTCCCATTTTCAGCCTTGAGGTAACAGGCCAATCAGAAAACACAGTGTGAAATTTGGTCATATATTTTGTCACGTGACTAGGTGTTTGTAGGGTCTAGTTCTGAGTTTTTATTCTGATTTGTAAAATTGGTTCTCTTTATTACCTAGCCTGAAGAAAATTCGTGGCAAAGTCTGGAAGCAGAGAATATCTAGCCCTCTATTCAACACCAAACAATACACAATGGAACTAGAACGGCTCTATCTGCAAATGTGGGAGCATTATGCAGCTGGCAACAAACCTGATCACATGATTAAGCCTGTTGAAGTCACTGAGTCAGCCTGAATAAAGACTATATACAGGAGAACTGCCCCTATTCCTGAGCCTCAACCTTCTGGGGGGAAAAAGAACTAGATACCATACGTCATACTTGTCTGTACAGTACCATGTTACAGATGGGTGATATATAATGAAAATAGAATAGCACAGCCAGACTTGCTTCCTGCATGATAGGGAGAGACATGAGAGATGGGAAACTGCTGTTTCATAAGGAATCTCCCCATAGAGTTTTACAGCAGCCAGGTGGTGCAGAGGTCTGGAAGGTCTGATCTCCCTTGGTCTTCCATGGGATGCTTAATGTGGAGGGAGATTGACCAGCCATTTTGTGATTCCATGGATTGATCAAGTCTTCTGATTTTGTTTATCTTTATATTTTGGGTATTAGAGCTTTTATGTTTGCTTTCAGGTATTTTTCACTCATGTGAAGTGATCTTGATTCTTCTGAGATAAGGTTTTAAGCTAAAACGTTGCTCCCTGGCTTAGTGTCTGAACTCGGACAGGTTAACAGGGACTTCGCTGATGTAGTCTTTTTTATAGGTTTTATAAACCACTTGAGCCTATATCAGTCATTTTAGTATCTGACCTAATGCTTGGAGCTATAAGTACTTTGTTGATTTAGATAACGACTCAAATTTTTTTTTCCAGTTCATTTCTCCCTAACCTCCTTTTAAAATTCTCCTGTGACTGCTAACAAAATCAAGTATGGTTTCAAACATCCCAGAGTGTTTCTCTTAAACACACCATCTGGTGCCAAATGAAAAGTCTTAGGAATGATTATTAATCATGAAGGGCACAGTTGTGGTACTGTCATTGATAATAATGTAGATTTTTTTTTTTGCCTAATTTTGAACCTGTTTCACCAGTGTTTGAACCTTTGACTGCCCCTTCTATGCTGCTTCCAAAAGTGATAGTGTGTGATAAGATTTTTACCTTCCTTTCTAAAGTTTGTTTTTTTAAAGTGAGTCCTGTTCTTCCTTTTTCTTTCAGCAGAAAGGAAATCCCAGGTAAGTATAAGTATTCAAATATTTGATTAGTAAGTTGCAGTTATCTCCATATTAAATAATGCTCACTGATAAACTTAGTAGTAAAAGCAATGAAGGACCATCTAAGTATATGAGTAATTATTTTTCAGATTTTGTTAGGATATCATTGTCTTCTGGACTTAGTCTCAAAGTCTGTATGGATTCAGCCTCAGTAGTTGCGAATTGATTCCACTGCTTGGTTTGGAGTACAAATTAGATAGACATTAGCCCTCCTGAAGCTTAAATTCTTGGTATTTAAAACCATAGGAATAAAATGATTGAATCTCAACAAAGGGTTGAGGGCTTGAGGCTTAATAAAATGAGCCAACATATGAATCTGTGTATTGTTGTACTGCACCTATGCTACCCAGTCACAGATCATTTTTGTCTGTTAGTAGTGCTCTAGGATTATGTCTTTCTGAAGCACTGAGACAGTGCATCTATTCTGTAGTTGGCAGCTGTTGCCTGAATGTATCCTAGCTGACAAATTACTGAATAATTAAGAACTTGAATTTGTGAAAGATTCTTATTGCTAATCAAAACCGAAGCAAGGAGTCTCAAATGTAATTCTGGTTCCAGAATTACGCTGGGATGAACTGTGTACCTTTTAATAATGTAAATCAAGGAGCATTAGTTAAGGGATTTCTTAATTTATTTTTTATCCAATTGAAATACCAATTAAGGTTGCCAGCATGGTTACAGGTAAACTGAACTAGTCAAAGTGGGACTGGTTAAGAGACTTCCAGTGCCCTAAAGGCTGTGATGGACAGCCATTTTACATAGCACATCATTCCTCCTATAGGGATGAACTTCTTCCTGGCACGAAAAATACACAGTTTGGTTGAAGCTTTGCTTATGTAACAGGCTTTTATTTCCAGGTAACATGTCTATGGAAGACTTAATTCTGAATAGAGTTATAGATATTACTGGAAACTAGTTTTTTTTTTCTATAATACTCTGGTTTATTGAAAAAGTAAAGCATATAAATTGTGCTACAGAAATTAAGATGTTGTCTTGCGATCTTTAAACAATAAATGGATGATTTCCCCGTAATATGGCTTGGTGTATTTTGTGTCCTCTTATATTGAGTGTTGGACTGATTAATAGGGTCATCCACTGATGCAACCTATACTGGAATAACTCCAAACAGCATAACCAGGATGTATTTCCCTATTTTAGTGGTGGTGTTAAGAATTTGGTTTTCTTAGCCAAATCTGATGGAGGGATGGAGATGCTCTATGATCCATTAAGGAAGGGGACAGAGCTATTATCCCCAAAATACCCAATTATGTTAGCAGGTTGTTTATTTTTTTTCTTTCTGGAGATTGAACATGGGGCCTTCTATATGTCAGGGAACTGATCTACAGCCCCAGCCATGTAGTTTCATTCCTTATATAAGCTAGTTTTTTCTGGGCTTTCACTGGTTGAACTTGGCCACAAGTATGGCTTCCACTTTGCTCAGAGACATAAGAAGAAACTTTGTTGTTGTTGTTTTTGGAGCCAGGGTCTCCCTGTAGCCCTAGCTGGCCTGGAACTTGCTATGTAGACTAAACTAGTCTCAGTCTCACTGAGATTCATCTGCCTTCCGCCTCCTGAGTGCTGGGATTAAAGGAATGTGTCACCACATGGGGCTGAAACATTTGTTAATTTCAGGTAATTTACTTCTCAACTTTTCACTGTGCTCTCAAAGCCCTAATATGGATTTGTGTTTGTTGGGATCTGGGTGTTATAGCTCTTAATAACTATAATCCCAATACTTGGAAGGCTGGGGCAGGAGGATCACCACAAGTTCAAGGCCAGCTTGAGCTACATAGTGAGACCCTATCTCAGAAAAACAAACAGAAAAAGCTGTGTGGAAAGCAAGAAGGACTAGTCACTAGTCATAGTGTGGGAAGAAGTCAAGTAGTCATAAATGTTTTCACTTCCCTCTTATTCTCATCTACAACTCCTCCTGCCCTCAGTCTAAAAAGTTGCCTGCACAGGCTGAATAAATTTGTATAACTTCTGAACTGCTTGTATTTTACTTTGGTTGTTTTTAGGCAGGATTTCCTGTAGTTAAGGCTGGCCTTGAACTCCAGGTCCTTCTGCTTCCACCTTCCATGTGGTAAAATGACAAGTGTGAGCTATCATGTCCTGCTGGCTTGGGTTTTTTGGAGACATCTTACTACATAGCCAAGGCTGACTTATCCTTATGCTTCCAGTATGTGCCACCATACCTGCCTGAACTGCCTGTTTTAGGATTTAATTTAAGAGCCGGGCATGGTGGCACACGCCTTTAATCCTAGCACTTAGGAGCAGAGGCAGAGGCAGGTGGATCTCTGTGAGTTCAAGGCCAGCCTGGTCTCAAAAAGACAAAGGAAAAAAGATTTAATTTGAATCCTAACTTTTATTTGAAGTGTATGTCCTTCCTGTTAAAACAGTCCTCACTACATTGCTTTTGCTTTGAACACATCCTCAGCCCCTCAAGTGCTGGGCTTATGGGTTGCACTACTACACTTGGCTCATGTTTCCTAGATCTAAGGTTTGGTTCTTGGCCCATTCCACCAATCCACACAGTTAAGTAAGTTCAGATTTTAGGGAGGTCTTATATAGATGTTCGTTTTCAAGATTGTTGGAGAGAGTGTTATCTAGTACCCTATCAACTCTGGAGGCAACTTTATATGTAGCCAGTTTGGTGAGTAGGTTTTGGAACATGTACTATTAGAGTTTGAGTCCAAGCTCTACTACTTCCTAGCCAAGCGATCTCAGTAAAATGAAATTGCATTTTTATTTTTTGTTTTTATGATTTTATGGGTTTTTTTTTGAGACACTGTCTCCCTGTAGCCCCAAATGACCTGGCATTCACTCTTGTAGACCAGACTGGCCTCGAGCTCACAGATTCGCCTGCCTCTGCCTCCTGAGTGCTAGGATTAAGGACATGTGCCACCATGTCGAACTTTGCATTTTTATTTTTTAATTTTTTAATGGTTTATGATGCATTCATGTATGTGCACATACAGAGGCCAGAAATTGGTCGAGTCTGTTGCTCTTCACCCTATTTTAAGCTTGCAGTTCTGATCACCTGTCTCACCATGCCCATGTTCTGTTCCCTTGGCACTGGGATTAAAGAGGCCCCTATGCTGGGGATCTATCTGTTCTTGGGAACCATCTCCCCAGCCTGTAGCCTTGAATTTGTAATAGTTCAGAGACAGACTCTCCCTTTGTTGTCCAGGCAGGCTCCTAGGCACAAGCAAGGTTCTTGCCCCAGCCTCCCAGGCTCAAGCCATCCTCCCACCTCAGCTTCCCAAGTAGCTGGGCGTAGCTGGGACTACAGAGGGCCTGGCTTACATAAGGTGTCATGAGAATTAAACCCACATAAAATATCTGGAACAGTGCCTAGCACGGAACCTGTGAGCACAGAGATGTTTCATTTGTATTGTGTGACCAAACACTTAAATTGTGACATGTATAGGTGTCTGTCAGAGAGGGGCACAGTAAGGAAAGCATTTGGTTCTTGGGTTTTTTGGGGTGTGTTCAGATTGAGCCCCAAATAGCTTAACTTCTTTTATGTTCAGGGTCTTACAATTCTGGACGCAAAACAATACAGTTCAGTGTGTTGCTGACTTACTCTTATTTGGGGCCTAATATGAAGGCTAGGCAGATAACCCCCCCCACACACACACACAAACTTTTAAAAGGTTTGGGCAATTCAAGCAAGGAACAAACATTCTCACATGGCTGGGACTTTTTAGGGGAAAATTGGTTTTTCCTCATCATTCAACAAGTTGTTAGAAGCTGGAATGGTGGGTGCATACTTGTAATCCAGCACTCCAAGGGCAACGGCAAAATCACCGGGAGTTTGAGATTAGCCTAGGCTACACAGTGAGACTGGATCTCAACCCAAACCAAAACAACCCTCCCCCCCAAAAAAAACGGGGGGTGGGCGATGTTAGGAACCATTAACCACAGAACTGGGTTTGAGGCATATCTCTAGCAAAATGGCGCAGTTGTGCAACACATACAAGTGTGGCATAGAAGTGATACCAGACACCTGAAGTTGTGTCACGCAAAATTCAAATTCGCTTTCTGGTTATGGACTAGGCAGGGAAAGCATCAGGTGTCATCTTGCCTGGGTCTTGCCCAATAAAAAGTGGTATGCCCTGTGGCCATCCACCAAAGGTGGCTGTGACCTACACCAGAGACACAAAGACAGGTGCGTGGCTTGTGGGCTACAGTGAGTACTAAATTTTTATTTTAGTGCAGTGGATTTAGCTGAAAACCCCACTACCATGTACCTTGGACTCTGGTATGAGCTTGGGAACTTTGAGACTGAGATTCAGACAGTATTTTGTCCATTATCCACCCTTTAAACAGTACATGGGGGCTGGGAGTGTAGCGCGATACAGTAGTTGCCTAGAAGTTCCTGGGTTTGATCCTTGGCACTGACAAAAAGAGAAAAAAAGGAAGTTTTCGGAAAGCCTTTTTAAAAACTTGTATTATGATATGTGGCAACTGAGGTAAAAATTTTTACCCAGGGAAGAGGCGCGAGGTGGGGTGTGTGAGGGGAGGATGGTGGAGTGGGATGATGGTGGTTTGGGTAGTATTGGGGCAGGTGAGAAAGCGCATGGGTAGAACTGTGGGAGGAGGGCAGGATGGGTCTCCGATAGGTGGCGGTCTAGGACACTTGAGGTAATGGGAAGATGGTGGCTGGGAGGTATCCAGAGTGCTTCGCGAGGTGTGAGGGTGGCGGCTGGGGGTGTCCAGAACACTTTGTGAGGTGGGAGGGTGGGGGCTGGGGGGTATTGCGGACACTTGGGGTGGTGGATGGCAGCATCTAGACACGCTACAAGCAGCACTCTATGGCCCTTGGTGGTGACCGGGAATTGTAGACCTCCTGAGGAGACTTGGTTGGGGGAAAACAGACTGAGGTGGGAGTGTGGTGTGGGACAGGGGGGTGTCGAGTGCTGAGGTGGACGCTACGTAAAGACACGGGAGAGGACAAATGGAGGCCTAGTAATAGTGGAAGCCAGTAACAAGCGTGAAGGAAAGCAATGGCAGCAAGCGGATTGGAGGAAGGGCAGAGGTTGATGCCTGATTGGTGCAAACTGCGAGGGGTGGGTGTGGTTGAGCGCTAAGTGTTTCTAGAAAGCTCTAGGAGACCGAGACCGAGGGCGAGGTGGGGCGTGGGGTGGGATCTGATTGGTCGGAGTTGTGGAAGTGACGGGCTGAGGGGGCGTGGCCTGAACTGGTCCACCAATGGGAATCTGGCATAGTGGAGTGAGTGGGTGGGGTGGGGAGGCGCTGGCAGTACCTCGAGCTGCAGAGGGGCCCTCGAGTCAGAAGCCCTCGAAGGCGTCTGGGAGGCAGAAGTCTGCTGGGGAGGAGACTGCTATCCTGAGGAGCTCGAAGGTTAGCTGGTGCGAAGGTGTTGAGAGCACTTTGGGGGAGACTAGGGGGTGAAAACTATAGGCTACTGTGGTCATCAGAGTGTTTTGATGGGGCAAAATTAAAGGCTTTTTTTCTCTTTTTGTGTGTGCTTTAAACTCGTGATCCTCCTGCCTCAGCCTCCTTAGAGCTGGTTTTACCGGCACGTACCACCATGGCTTTTTTTTCCCCCTTGTACTTTTTGTTTTGAGACGGTCTGGAAAAGTGCTAGTCAGGCTGGCCTTTAGCTTGCCATCCTCCCGCCTCAGCCTCGAGTGCTAGAATTACAGGCAGGTACCACAGCAGAGCACTTAACTTTTAATTTCTCGTTCGTATTTACTTATTTATTTATTTATTTTAATTGAGAGCCGGTCTTGCTGCAGAGCTTAGTCTGGCCCGCAACTTAATTCATAGCTTGGGCCAGCCTGGAATTTTGTAAGATCTTCCTGTCTCAGCGCCTATGGCTCCCCACCCCAGGCCCTCTTTTTTTCTCTTTGTTATTTGAAGCAGGGTCTGGAAATACAGTTTAACCTGACCTGAAGCTCACCATCCTCTCAGCGTTTTTAGTGCTGGGATTATACCACCCAGCTTTTCTTTGTTTATTGCTTTTGGGGTTTGTTTGTTTTTTGGGGGGGGGCAACTATTGTTTGGAAGGTGGAGTGTTGGGGGAGTTGTGTGTTTGTCTTTAGACGGAGTTTCACTTTGTAGCTCAGGCCTTGAACAGTCCAGCTAGCTTGTCCTTTTTTTCCTCCCCGTTTTGTTTTGAGACAGGGTCTGGAACTGTGCTGTTCAAGCTGGCCTGTAGCTTGCCATCCTCCTGCCTCAGCCTCCCAAGTGCTCGAAGTCCAGGCAGGTACCACAGTACTTGGCTTTTCTTTTTCTTATGTTCTTTCTTTTTTTTAAAAAAAAAAAAATCTTATTTATTGAGAGCTGCTCTTGCTGGAGCTCAGTCTGACCTTCAACTTGATACATTGCTTAGGCTGACCTTGGATTTTGCAAGATCTTCCAGCCTCCACTTCCTCCTGGGCCCCCTCTGTTTTCTCTTTGTTATTTTGAGGCAGGGTCTGGAAATATCAAGACAATATCACTTCGTAGCTCAGGCTAACCTTGAGCTGTAGAACTATCTGCTTTTCAAGTGTTGATGTTAGGTGTGTACACCACTGTACCTGTTAGTAAGCTTTTATTTTATTTTCTCCCCATTTTGTTTTGAGACAGGGTCTGGAACTGTGCTGTTCAAGCTGGCCTGTACCTTGCCATCCTCCTGCCTCAGCCTCCCAAGTGCTGGAAATACAGGCAGGTATCACAGCACTTGGCTTTTCTTTTTTTATTTTTTCTTTTGAGAACTGGTCTTCCTCTGTAGTTCAGTCAGGCCTGCAACTTGATACATAATTTAGGCTGGCCTTGAATTTCACAAGTTCTTCCTGCCTCTGGGCCCCCTGCCCCTACTCTGCTCCCTTTTTTTCTTCTTTATGTTGTTTTGAGATGGTCTGGAAATGTAGTTCAGGCTGACCTGGAATTTGCCAGCTTCCACCTAAGCCTCCTGTCTCATTCTCTCAAGAGCTTTAATAACAGTGTGCAGCTCAGCTCCCCCGTCTCCCAATTTATTATTTGTGTGTACATGTTGTTTGTGATGTGGGAGGGTGCTCATGGCACTGGCGTGCATGTGGAGGTCAGAAGACAGCTTTGTAGAGTTGGTTCTCTCCTTTGACCTTTGCATGTGTTCTAGGGATGGAACTCAGGTTATCATGCTTACACTCACTGGCCCCAGCTTTTTTTTTTTTTCCTTAAAACAGGGTCTTGGGGCTGGAGAGATGACTCAGTTGTTAAGAGCACTGACTGCTCTTGCAGAGGACCTGGGTTTGATTCCCTGCACCCACATAGCAGCTAACAACTGTCTGTAAACTCTAGTTCCAGGGGATCCTCTGCCCTCTTCTGACCTCAGAGGACATGTGTGCACTTACGTGCGTGCAGGCAATACACTCATCCACATAAATTTGCCTGCATTTATGTGAGTGTACCCATGTCATGCAATGCCTCGGAGGTCAGAAGAGGGCTTTGGATTCCCCTGGAACTGGAGTTAAAGATGGTTCGTAGCCACCATGTGGGTGCTGGGAATCAAACCCAGGTCCTCTGCAAGAGTAGTCAGTGCTCTTAACCGCTGAGCCATCTCTCCAGCCCCTAAATAAAATATTTTTTTTTGTCTTTTTTGAGACAGGGTCTCCTTGTAGCCCCAGCTGTCCTGGAGCTCACTATGTAGACCAGGCTGGCCTTGAACTCACGAAGATCCGCCTGCCTCTGCCTCCCAAGTGCTGGGATTAAAGGCGTGCACCACCACGCACTGGCCAAAATAAAATATTTTTAAAAACATGGTCCCGCTAGCTTGTCCCAACTCCTGGTTCAAGTTATCCTTAGAGTCTAAGACTACAAGGGCTGGCTACTGAACATAGTGTCTAGATTTTTCATTCAGCAAAACGAATCTAAAATACTTCATATTTCACAGCAATAAAGTTTCTGATTTAAATGAGTACTACTCATTACAAGGTGTTCATCTTGAGTATCTGCTGTAGAGCTGGGGGATATATAATAAAATTAGATCCTAAGTAAAAAACAAAATTGAGGTTAAGTTGCTAGTCAAAGATAAAGGCAGATTTTAGAAATGTCTCCTCGGTTCTGAATTCTGGTTTTAACAATGTTTTTTTTCTTGATATTAGACATGGACAAGTCCGAAGAAGAGGGTGGCCAATCTAGTCGCGTGTCCACTGTGGATGAGGATTGGTGAGATTTTTTAAAGTTCTATTTTCAATTAGTTTAGCCTTAACCCTCTTGGTAAAAGAACTTTTTTTAGTTTATATTATATTTGGCATCTGCCGGGTATATAACTTGATTAAATTTGTTTTTTTTTTCCTCTGAGGCAAAGTCTTGCTCTGTAGCCCAAGCTGGCCTGGAATTTATTGTGTAGTCCAAGCTGGCCTTGAACTTGAGCTCCTCCTGCCTTTACCTACTGAGTACAGGGATTGCAGGTTTGAAACACCATTTCCTGTTACCTACATTAATATTTTCTTTTTTTTTTTCTTTTGGTCTTTCTGAGACAGGGTCTTCCTGTAGCCCCAGCCGACTTGTAACTCACTGTGTAGACCAGGTTGGCCTCGAACTCAGAGATCTGCCTGCCTCTGCCTCCCAAGTGCTGGGACTACAGGTGTGCGCCACCACGCCTGGCTACATTAATATTTTTTAAAATTTAAGTTACATTTATTTATTTGTGTGTGTGTGTGTGCGTGCGTGTGTGTGTGTATGCGTGTGCATGCAGATGTGAGAGGACAGCTGGTGGGAGCTGGTTCTCTCCTTCCGCCATGTGGATCTTGAGGATCAAATTCAGGCCATTGGGTTTGATGACAAGTGCCTCTACCTGCTGAGCCATCTCACCAGTCTCTATCTTGGTTAATCTTAAAATAAAAATGGTAAAGAAAGAAGAATTTTAGGATTTAGCATTCCAACCTCCTAAACAACATCTCTGTTGTAGCCAGAAAGTGTGAATAATTTCTAAAAAGTTATTCTGGTGAAATTCTTGCCTGCTGTGGTATAACTTCCATGCTGATGTTGGTAGCGCTGCCCTCCAGAAAGACCCAGATAAATATTTTTCACTGTGATTACAGGAGGTATTTAAAATAGCAGTCTGTCTCTTCAGAGTTTCCTCTCATTCGAAACACTGCAATATTTCTCTCTGTCACAGGCAAGTGTAAAATTTGGAAGAAGCTACAGACCATCTTAGACCTGAGGGTCAGGAAATAGATAAAAAGAAGAAATTAGTTTATGATTAAAAAATGATATTCGAAATGAGTGAGGGAAAATAGCAGACAGTTTGAGAATAATGGATAAACCAGTTTGAAAGAAAAAAAAACTGGACTATGTTCAGAGCCCTATGTTCAATCCCTAATACTGAAAAAACAAAACAACCAAAAAAAAAGTTGGAATTTTGGGGGGAGGAGATAGTCCTCAGTGGTATAACCCCTGGTAATTTATCCTTGCTCAAGTAGAGCAGCACTGATTTAAATATAGTGGACCACAGAAAGTACTGGGGAGGCTTATCAAGTGGTTGATGCCAACCTGGCCTAAATAGTGAGTTCCAAGTCATCCTGAGCCGCAGTGTGAGACCCTGCCTCAAAAAATACTTTCTCTTTTTGAGACAGGGTCTCCCTGTAACCTCAGCTGACCTAGAACTCGCTATGTAGACTAGACTGGCCTTGATCTCACAGAGATCTGCCTGCCTCTGCCTTCTGAGTGCTGGAATTAAACACGTGTGCCACCATGCCTGTCAAGAAAAAAAAATTTTTAAGACAGGTGAAGTTTACATTTTGTATATATATTATCTATAATATATCTTAGGCTATTTTCCTTAATCTACAAAGAACTTATACAAATCAATAATTTGGCTTTTTTTATAAGTTTTAAAAATTAATTTTACTTATTTTTTTATGTGTATGAGTATACTGCCTGCATGTATGTAAGTGTACCCATGTCGTGCCATGCCTACAGAGGTCAGAGGGCGTCAGATCCCCTGGAGCTGGAGTTATAGATGGTGGTTAGCTGCCATGTGGGTGTTGGGAACCAAACCCCAGTCCTTTGCAAGAGTAGCCAGTGCTCTTAACCGCTGAGCCATCTCTCCAGCCCCTATTTATTTTAATCTATGTATATGACTGTTTCCCTTCCATGTATGTATGTGCATCCATGCATACAATACCCACGGAGGCTAGAAGAAGGTGTTGAAGCCCCTAGGAACTGGAGTTAAGGACTATTATTAGCTACCATGTGGGTGCTGGCAGCTGAAGCCAGGTTTTCTGCAAGAGCAGCCAGTGCTCATAACCATTTAGCTATCTCTTCAGCCCCGGGATTTTGTTTATTTATTTATTTATTTATTTATTTATTCGAGTGTATTTATTGCATGCATGTATGTGAGTGCACCCATGTGGTGCAATGCCGTGGAGGTCAGAAGAGGGCTTTGGATTCCCCTGGAACTGGAGTTAAGGATGGTTCGTAGCCGCCATGTGGGTGCTGGGAATCAAACCCAGGTCCTCTGCAAGAACAGTCAGTGGTCTTAACCGCTGAGCCATCTCTCCAGCCCCTGTGTATTTATTTGTTTTTAAGAGTCTCATGCTATAGCCCAGGCTGGCCTGGAACTCACTATAGTCTTAGGCTGTGCTCAAACTCTCTGGGATCCTCCTGTCTCTGACTCTTGAGTGCTGGGATTACAAATGTGCACCACCATACCCAACTACAAATCAATATTTTTTTTTTGAGAGGGCTGCGCGTGGTGGTTCATGCCTGTAACCCCAAGATTTGGGAGATAGAAGTAGGAGGGTCAGGAGTTCAAAGCCAGCCTCCTCTGTATAGCTATATGGAAGCTAGCCTGGGCTACATGAGACCCTAACTCAAAAAACAAAAAAGAATTATAAAAAGGCAAACAAGTAGTAGGCAAAGGATTGTTAGAAGTTAGCGCTCAGTAAAAAAATAAAAATGAAGTTAGGCATGATGGTGCACGCCTTTAATCCCAGCACTCAGCAGGCAGGGGCAGGCGGATATCTGAGAGTTCAAGGCCAGCCTGGTCTACATAGTGAGTTCCAGGCAGCTAGGGCTACAGAGAGACCCTGTCTCAAAAAGACAAAAAAATAAATAAGTAAATAAATAAAAAATAAAAATGATCCATAGATGTTTGAGACAAGGTCTCGCTGTAGCCCCAGGTGATGTGGAACTCGCTCTGTAGACCAGGCTAGCCTGGAACTCACAGAGATCTGCCTGCCTCTGCCTCCTGAATGCTGGAATTAAAGGCATGAACCACCCCTTGTATTAAATGCCTGCACCTTTTTTTTTTTTTTTTTTTTTTTTTTTTTTTTTTTTTTTTTTTTTGGACAGGGGTCCCCTGTAGCCCCCGCTGTCCTGGAACTCACTATGTAGACCAGGCTGGCCTTGAACTCACAGAGCTCCACCTGCCTCTGCCTGCTGAGTGCTGGGATTAAAGGCATACGCCACCACGCCTGGCAAATGCCTGCATCTTTTTAACAGTAATTTCAATAATATGGCTTTTTCTTCCACTTAAAAATCAGTATTATTTTTAATTATTTTTTGAGACAGGGTCTCCCTGCTCCCAAGTTCTGTGATGATGCCACCACACTAGGCCTTATTAATTAAAAAAAATTTTTTTTGTTTAGGCTAGCCTGGTGTACATAGTGAGTTCCAGGCCAGCTGGAGCTACAGGAAGATTCTGTCTCAAAAAAACTTAAAAAAAAAAGTTTTTGTAATTAACTGTATATGTGTGTATCTGTGGATACTTATGTGCAGATGCCTGCAGAGTCTAGAAGAGGGCATCAGGCCCCCTGGAACTGGAGTTAAGAGACAGTTGAGCAACCCACTGGGGCTACTGGAAACCAATCTCAGGTCCTGTGCAAGAGCAGTAAGTGCTCTTAACTGCTGAGCCATTGCTCCAGCATCTTACTTTTTTTTTTGTTTTGTTTTTCGGTCTTTTTGAGACAGGGTCTTCCTATAGCCCCAGCTGGCCTGAACTCACTATGTAGACCAGGCTGGCCTTGAATTCACAGAGATCTGCCTGCCTTTGCCTCCTAAGTACTGGGACTAAAGATGTGCACCACCATGCCATGCATGTCTTAATTTCTTTAAAAATATATTTAAGTGCGTAAGTGAAGTTATAGCACACATGCTTCTTTTTAAGACAAGAACTCAGGTTGGCCCTTGAACTCATGATCCTACTGCCTCCCCCTCCCTAGTGTGTGCCACCATGCCTGGGTTCTTTTTGTGTGTGGGGGTGGGGGTGGGGGTTAACTAGTATAGTGCCTGGCTGAGTTTTTAGGCTATCCTTGGACTTTTTTGTTTTGTCTTTCTGAGACAGGCTCTCCCTTTAGCCCCAGTTGGCCTGATACTTGCTGTGTAGACCACGCTGGCCTTAATCTCAGAGAGATTCACCTGTCTCTGCCTCCTGAGTGCTGGGATTAAAGACATTTACCACCAGCCTGGCTTGCAACTTTTTAAAGATTTTTTTTCATTTATGTGTCTTTGTGTATGTGTGTAGGTGCCTTCAGATGCCAGAAGAGGACATTGGATCCCCTGGAGTTGGACTTACAGGAGGTTGTGAGCCACCCAGTGTGGGTACTAGGAATTGAACTCTAGTCCTCTGCAAGAGCAGCAAGTGCTCTCAACCATTGGTCTTTTGATCATTCTGTCTCAGCTTCCTGGGTAGTTAGTATATAAGCCCAGCTGGGGTAGCCCTTTTTTTTGGAGATGGAGATGAAATCTTGCTATGTTGCTTCGGCTGCCCCTGAAAGTCCTTGATCTGATACCTAGCACACTAAAAGTATTTTCTAGTTCTAGTTATGCTGGAGTAAGACTCATGAAAATCATCTATTTACTTTCCTGTCTTTGCCACTGGACAGTGAGATCCTTAGATATCTTATTCATTTTTAGCCCTAGTACCAAGAATAGATGCTGAATACTTAAATGTTGGATCAGTGAATGAATGAATCACAAATATACTCATATTTAATTATAACATGTTTATATTTTTTGCATTACTGGAAGGCTTCACACAAGCTAGGCAAGTACATTATACCACTGTGCTTAGGCACAGCCCCATAACATGTTTATTGAGTTATAAAAATGACCAACAGGGTCAGTGAGGTGGCTCAGTGGGTAAAGGCATTTGCTGCTAAGGCTGATGACCTGAATTTAATCCCCAGAACCCATGTGGTAGAAGGAAAGAACTGACTCCTGAAAAGACTATGGCTTGTGGCAAAAATAATCTAGAATTATATCAAATAAAATGTGGAAGTCTAGCCTCACATGCTTACCTCTTTTCTATTTTTAAAAAAATGGTTGTGTGTGTGTGTGTGTGTGTGTGTGTGTGTGTTAGTGTAAGTGTTCAACACTGTGTTTCTTCTATTGCATTCCACCATGTGTTTGTTTATACATACATACGATTTTTTGTTTTTTTACAAAGGGTCTCACTATGTATCCCCAGATGGCTTGGAGCTTGATATGGAGTCCAGGCTGGCCTCAAATGGACTGCCTCTGCCTCTGGAATTCTGGGACTTGTAGGCATGTGCCGTTATGCCTGGCTGCTCCACCATATTTTTGAGGCAGGATCGCTCATTAAACACGGGACTATCCATTGCCTCTAAGCTGGCTGGGCAGTGAGCCCCTGAGATATACCTGTCTCTGTCCTCCTCCCCAACTCCCACTGGGATTGCAAGTGTGTGCCACCACACCTGGCTTTTAATGGGTTCTGAGGATCTTGGGGCTCCGAATTCAGGTCCTCATGCTTGCACAGCAAGTACATTATTCCCTGAGCCATCTCTCCAGCCCCGTTTTCTAGTTTTTCTGAGGTCATAGTTAAAAATTTGGTGCTGGTTCTTTATAAATTTTTTACTATGGCTGAAGAGATGGCTTAGCAGTTAAGAGCAGGGTACTCTTGCAGAGGACCTCAGTTCGGTTTCCAGCACCTATATGGTGGCAAACGGCCATTTGTAACTCCAGTTTCAGAGGATCCAACGTCTTCTGGCCTCTGAGGGCATGCATGACACAGGTGCACTTGCATACGTGCAGGCAAAGCACTCATTAAAGATGTTGAGAAAGTAACCCACTAAGAGATTCTCTTAAAAATTAAAAAAAAATCTGTTTTATTTTTCAGTTACATTCTTGATGTGGATTCAAGCGTCAGTGGAGAGTCCGGGTCCTGTAAGTATAGAGTCCTCTTACCACAGCAGTGCACATGCTAAGTGTCTGTAGAGATAGCTGAAAGGAGATTGGGTACATTTGAACTGTACCTAAGTTTGCCTCCTCTAGTGCTCTCTCTAGATTGGTAAAATGAAGTTTATTTCTCTACTGTCAAGGGCAGGGAAAGATTTTGTTTCCTTCCTGGTTTATTCCTTTTTCTCCTTTTTTGGCTTCTGGGTCTTTCATTTCCTCTTTATCTTTGGTGGGAGGTAATATTTTCGTCTCCCTTCTTTTTCTTTTTCCTTTGCCTGTCTGTCTCTTTCATTGCTGGAGATAGAACTCAGGGTGTGTTAAGACAAGTGCTCTACTTCTGTCCTACATACCCAGTCTTAGGAAAATGTAAATTTTACTAGCTCAAATTTATAAACTGGTTTTCAGGAGTCAAAGATACGGGCTACTAGATTGTATCGTGCTTCCTATTGCTCTCTCTTTGTCTCTGATTTAGATAAAAACCCAAAGCCAGAAAAGAAGAGAAAATCCAGGTAAGTAGGAGAATTGTTGAAACTTGTTTTTAAAAGGAAGCTCTGGGTAAGAAGATTTAAGAGTAAACATAACATTTTCCTCTGTGAACACTCTGCAGTACCGGCCACAACCATAATGGTAGTTTGACTTCATAATTAGCTTAAAAATATTTGATTCCTAGTCAGGTGTGATGGTGGACACCTTTAATCCAAGTACTTGGAGGCAGAGGCAGGTGGATCTCTGTGAGATTGAGGCCAGCCTGGTCTACATACTAAGTTCTGGGCCAGTTGGAGCTACAGGGAGACCCTGTTTCAAAAAGATCAAAAAAAAAAAAAAACCCAAAACGAATATCCTATTTCTATCCTGGGCCATTATCTAATTGTTCAGCTGCTATTTTTATTTATTTATTTACTTTTGGCTTTTTGAGGTAGGGTCTTACCAGGTACCCCGGGCTGGCATGGAACTCACTGTATAGACCAGGTTGGCCTTGAGCTTGTGGCGTCCTCTTGCCTCTGCCTCTTGAGTGCTAGGCTTATAGGCATGCACCACCTTGCTCAAATGGTTTTTTTTTTTTCAAAATGTCTTTGAACCATGTCTTAATTTCTAGTCTTCACTAGTAGAAAGACATAGACATTTTGTCTGATCTTACGTTCCTCTGAGGCAAGTCTGTAGAACATTTCCAGGTGAATTTCCTGAGCATGCTGTGATCATATTGATGACCAGTTCAAATAGCTTTTGGTATAAAAATTAAGCTGTTTGGCCTAGTATTTAGAGCCTTCAGTGATCTAGCCCAGTGAGGTGGGAGAAAAGAAGTGAGTGAGGGATGGATGGAAACAGGATGAGGACATGTGCTGGAAATCAATAGAGGAAAGACTCACTTTTATGTGTATGTACGTACATGTGCAACATGCATACTTGATGCCCACAGAGGCCAGAAGAGAGCATCAGACCCCCTGGAACTGGAGTAATAGACAGTGGGTTCTGGGAACCAAACCCAGGTCCTCTGCTGAGCCATCCTAGAGACAGTCTCAGAAGAAAGACAATCTTAAGGCTGGAGTAGTTAATAGGATAGCAAAGATCCATCAGTTTGGCAGCTTAAAAGTAGAGAACATTCATGGTAGGAAGTATATTAGCCTTGGTGTCTATAACAGGCACAAGAAAGTCTTGTAACAAGCATTTAATATTTTTCTTTCATCATAAAAGTATATCATGGTTATCAAGATGGCTCAGTGGGTTAAGGTGACTGCCACACAAGCCTGGTGACCACTGTTCGATCCCCAGAACCCACATAAAGGTGAAAGGAGAAAACTGACTCCACAAAATTGCTCTCTGACTCCACCTGTGTGTCATGGTGTAGGTGTGCATACACATAGACAGACACAATGGTAATAGTTTTTTTAAGTATATCATACTGGGCGTGGTGGTTCATGCTTATAATCCTAGTCCTTGGGAGGCTGAGGCAGGAGAATTGCTGTGAATTCCAGAACAGCCTAGGACAAAGAGTGGGAACCTCTCCCTGTGGCTTTCCACTCTTCTCATACAAATGCATCTCAAAGCTGATGAAGAATGAGAGTCAAGTAGGTATTTCCTTCAGTAGTTTTTCCCCTTGAACCAAAACTGAGCACATGCACTCCAACAGAGTCAATTCACATAGTATATGACCTAGAGGGAGAAAGGTGCTTAGAAAGATGGAAAATCAGGAATAATTGCAAGATTGAGTAGTTCCAATGAAGGGAAGCAATGAAGTATAGAAACAGTCTAAAACATAACAAATGATCATGTTTAAGAGAAGATGGAACATCCTATGAAGAGAATATTGTGCTTATATTTCTCTTTTGTTTTTTTCCACCCGTCACTTAGCTATCTGGTAATTGACTCATCTGATGACTCTGGCAATGAGGAAAAGAGATCTAAGATATGGGAAATAAGCAGCGAAGGCAAGTACACCCTTCACTTAAAGAACTAGCTCAGCCCTACAGCCTTGTCGGGTGTAGCAGTCTGTGTCTTACTGCAAACTTTCCAGTTTGTGATTGCTTAGTAGCCAGTGCCACCATTTCTTTTCTCTTTATGTGTTGGATGTGGCTATGGCTGGATTCCCTACACCTCTGATCCATTTTCTAACATAGCTGCAACTCTTCTGCTGCCTTAGACCTTGGGTGTCCCCCTGAGTAGAGTTCTTATCTGCCTAGAACTCCACAGAGGAAGCGGATGGGAGACGTCTGCACCTCTGCTGCTCCCTCTTTCTCTGTCTTCCTCCATTGTAGGTGGGAATGACAAGGACGAAGAGAAGAATAAGAGGCCCGGGCTCTGCCTTCTCCAACTTGGTGGAGACTAGGGTGCGGGAACTTAACAGTGTAAACAGTGCTAACTACCAATGTGCTGCCTGCAGCATTATGTGAGATAGAGCACACCAAAAACTCAGCCAGTCTATAATGACCAACTAAAGAACAGTTTTCTAAATTAGGGAAGTTTAACTTGATGTAGATGAAATACCATTTTATTGCGGTTTCCCTTATTTTTGTATGGACTAGTGGAAATATCCAAGTTAGCAGGTCTGTGTTTGGGAGCCAATGAGCAAGTATATCACAGTGTTTAGACAATGTGATTTTAAAATGAGCATTATACTTTCCTTACTAGTTTATCTGTCATTGCTGTCAGTAAAATACAAGGTATAAGGACAGCAATCTAAAGTAACTATGATTCGTTTTAAACATTTAATTACTTATTTATTTATTTTTTGAGACAGGGGCTTCCTGTAGCCCCAGGTGTCCTAGAACTCACTATGTAGACCAGGCTGGCCTTGAACTCAGAGATCCGCCTGCCTCTGCCTCCTGAGTCCTAGGATTGAAGGCGTGTGCCACCACACCCGGTTAAACATTCTTTTATTTTTATTTTATGTGTATGAGTGGTTTACATACATGTACATAAGTGTACCTGTTCATGCAATGCCCTCGAAGGTCAGGAGAGGGCATCAGATACCCTGGAACTAGAGTTATGGATGGTTGTTAGTCACCATGTAGGAACTGAACCCAGGTCCTCTGGAAGAACAGCCAGTGCTCTTAACCACTGAGCCATCTCTCCAACCCCTAACTATGGTTCTTAACTACAGTTCATAATGTCCAAACCAGTTTTTCCTCTTAAATTTTATGTGTATGAGTGTTATGTCTGCATGTGTGTAAGTGCCCCCATGTCATGCAGTGCCCATGGAGGACAGAAGAGGGCATTGGATCCCCTTGGACTGGAGTTATGGACAGTTCTTAGCTGCCAGGTGGGTGCTGGGATTCAAACTCAGGTCTTCTGCAAGAACAGCCAGTGCTCTTAACCGCTGAGCCATCTCTCCAGTCCCCGAAACCAGTTTTAAATTTGTGCTCAATAAGCTACTGATGTCTTGTGTGTACAGAGGGGTAGAAGGAATATGTTTATAGATGATTGTGTCTCTTGAATTTCAGATGAAGCTTCTGGTAAGCTTGAGATTTTTGACACTGATGATAAACCCAGCATCCAGAAGCCTTCAGCGGTTATTGTGATTGATGATGATAATGACAAAACCAATTTCAAGGGTTCTGAGCTCAAAGGAGGCGAATCCCCTGAATGGTACCAAATTTCTTCTGAAGAAGATGTGGAGGAATGTGTTATCGTTTCTTCACCTGATAGTGCTGGCGAGAAATTGGTTCTTGGTGAAAATCCTGGCGAGCCACTAAGTAATCCTGAGCTCAAGAAGAAAAGCATTAAAGCCCAAAAGTCAACCGGAGGGATGACTGCATCTGTGCAACCAAAGAAAAGGAAGGGAAAAAGCAAAAATACATGTATGCTGTCTGGTAAGCCACATCTGAAACGTCGGAGTGTGCCCTGCCAGCCAAGCGTGCCTGCCGAGCCTTTTCCTCTTGATGTGCCCATGTCATTGGGCCAGCCTGTTCTGCCTGCCAACCCTGAGCCTAAAGGCAAAAGGGCACAGCTAAGCAAGTGAAAAGGATCTTGCTCTAAATGGGGTGGGGGCACCTATGTCTGTCTTTTCATGCCCCCATATATTAGCAGTTGCTGTTCAACTTCCCTGGAGTACTTTTCCTCTGAATCTGTCCTGAGGATATTCTGTGCCCCCAGGATTTTGGCTAATTGTCAGTTCCTTTGTGCAGCCATAAGTTCGTATGGCTCCTCCCTCCTAGGTTCCCAAAGCTCTAGAGTTTCTGTTTTCAAGTGTTGTAACATGTTGCTAAATTTATCCCCTTAGTAACCTGTTCATAGGAGGATTCTTTGTGATTTCTTTGAAGCTCTAGCCTCATGACTGGCATGTAACAGATGTTAAATAAATTTGTTAAATAAATGAGTGACACTAACTATTGGTTCCTAAGTCTCTGGCTAGAGTTATTGGCATTGTGGGTACTAGAGGAAGGTAGAAAGGACTGACTTGCAAATTGGGTGAAGGTGCTGCTGGGGACATGGGATACACCAGACCATTCCTTAGACTGTACTCACCTTAGTTGCTCATGCAACTTAGCTTCCAAGAACCCTGTGACAGTTCTTTGTTCCTGGAACAAATATTACTCTGCTCACATTGCTGGTTGTTGGTGATTCCCCTAGGTGGAATCTCTCGGAAGGCCCCAGTATACAGCCTTCCCACAGTTTTATTGATAGATGTGTCCTGTACTTGACTGTTAAAGTTTCTTGGCCTTCCCTTTCTGTCAGCTGCTTGATGATACCAATTTTCAGGGTACAAATCAACTATTATCCTTTCAGTTGCTAGTGAACGAAAAAAGCAGAAGCCTTCCCAGAAGAAACCCATTGCAGCAAAAGTTGAAAAGTCCAAGACTGGGTATGTACTCACGCTCAATTGTATGGGGATAGATAGCACATCATTTTTGAATGTTCAGCAGTCCACTGGGTATTAAGGGGAAGGTTCTTCAAGGGGATGGAAAAGTCTGATTGGATGGAGGATGCCAGGTTTCTGACCCTAAGTGGAAGTTTTCGCACATGCAGAGTGATGAGGTCACCCTGTTGGCTCCTCTTCCCCTAGCCTCTTCCTGCTAAAATCTTGGCAGTTACTTGGTAGAGCTGTTCCTCCAACCCTGATAGCAGCTTTGGCCTCTGAAGTTTGCTTTTGTCCTTAAATGCAGGTCAAAGAAAGATGTGTAGCCTAACAAACACTTTTTTTCAGGCTAGACACAGCCTGGTGGCCACCAGTTTGTGCTTAAACAAGGCCAACACAGCTGGGTGTGGTGGTATTTACGTGTAATCCCAGCAGTCAGGAGACAGAGGCAGGAGCACCAGGAGTTCAAGGCCAGCCTCTGCATACCAAGCTCAAGGCCAGCTTAAGCTACTTGAGACTCTGTCTCAAAAAACAACAAAATAGGCCATCACAATGGAGATGGTGAGAAATCAGAGCCAGATATATTCTGATCTGGAAGAAGAGGGTGGTTAAGAGTGTCTTCCAGGTTTTTCTAGTGCTTTGCATAAACACAATTCCTCTTAATACTGTGTGTGTTGTGTTGTGTCATGTCTTGTGTTTTGTTTGGCAGTGTTGGGGATGGAACCCTTGACCTTGAACTTGCTGGCAAGCACTCTTGAGCCACACCAAAAATGCCTTGTGATTTTTCAAATCTTAAATGTTAGGAGGAAACCCTGCTTTAGGAGGAAAACAAAAACCTGTTAGGATGAAAATATAGATGCTTAAGAGCTCATTTTTTTATGTTTTGTATTTTTGAGACAAGGTCTCCCTGTAATCCAAGCTGGCCTGGAACTTGTTATGTATATTAAACTGGCCTTGAACTCAAGAGATTCACCTGCCTCTGCTTTACTGGTGCTGGAATTAAGGGTGTGCACCATCATTCCTGGCCTGTGTTCTTTAATTTTTATTAATCTGTATATACCTATCGAAAACAAGGAATCACTTCTGCCATAGACATCTTAAAACTTAAAGCAAAAGTCAATATAGCTGGGTGTGGTAGTACACAACTTTAATCCCAGCACTTGGGAGGCAGAGCAGGCAGACCTCTGTGAGTTGGAGGCCAGCCTGGTCTATATAGTGAGACCCTGCCTCAAAAAAGTCAAGAGTCTGAGAGATGGCATAGTGCTTAAGAGCACTGATTGCTCTTTCAGAGGACTGGAGTTTCATTCCCAGCACCCATGTGGTGGCTAGCAACTGTCCGTAACTCCAGTTCCAGGGGAATTCAACACCCTCTTCTGACCTCTTCAGGCATTGTACGACACGGGTGTACTTACAAACATGCAGGCAATACACTCATAGGCATAAACTAAAAATAATAAAAAAAGAGCCAATACATTTTTTTCATTTAGATTCCAAGAACTCACATTTTCCCTTAAAATGTGATTTTTAATTTTAACTCTGTTTTTACTTCCATTCAGGAGTAATACATACTTAAACCTGAATTATCTTATAAGAGAAGGAATATATTTGAAGAACCATATGTTTTGTGTGTGCATTTTGTTTTTGTTTTTATTCTTGTGGTGCCAAGGATGGAACCAAGGCCTTGTGCACAATGTGCAAGTGCTCTATCACTGAACTACACCCTAAGCCTGAATGATATCTTTTAACTTGTATTTTGGGAACAATTTTTTTTAATCTTAAGGGAGGGTAAGGGAAAAGAGTATGGCATGTCAGTGGTATGTCATTGGGGCCAAAAAATTCAGCTTGGATCTGAGAGAAAGGCTCTGCGTCCCTGTGCTTTTTGCTGGCTGAGATGGTTGGGGAAGCTCACCATGTGCTATCTCAAATGGCCCCCTCTCAGTAAAATATCATCTCTGAATTCCTAGCTATATATTTAAGCTGCTTTGCTTATAGGGATGGGGTGTCTTACAGACTGCCCAGGTGCTTTGCTAGACACTGGCAGAAGGAAGGAGAAGCTGCCTGTTGGTGTCCTTGTCACTATCCCTCATCTGAAGGAGACTAGCCTTTTAAGACTTACACCTCTTTTGTCTTGTACTTTCGTTGTTACTCTGGAGCTTCTCGTGCTTAGGATAGTTCCTATGTAGGCTGCTTGCTGGTCATGGTGTCTGATACACCCAATCTGGAGTCTTGTTGGGTCCTTTAATATAGGGTACTCAGCCTGCAGTGAAATGCACAGGCCTTGAGGTGAAGTTTGCTAAGCCCCAAGGCCAGCTTCTCCCTAAGTATGCACTGAGGTCTCTTCTCTGCTGAATCTGGCAGATGGTCCAGGTTTTCATCTGCTGCATTTCTGATACGTATTTTCTTGTGACATTAGGTAACTGGAAGCAAAAATGTTTTAAGTCATCTGAGTCAGGTTTGGTGGGTCTAGCGGGGGAGTGCAGACACTCATACACCCTTGACTGTCAAAGGTTCTTCTTTGTTGGGGAAGGTCATCCTCTTCAACCAAGCGCCCAGCGTTAGGAGAGACTCAAACCCAGTGGTAAAGAAGGAAAGGGATACCCGTCTACCCAGCCAGACCAGCCTATCAGTCCTGGAGATCAATGGGATTGACAGATGTCACAGCTAGATCACTCTCACATCCCATACCAGGTTTGGGGATGAAGAGCCCTGCAGTAGCTTCCTTTGTTTTATCATTACTTGCTTTCTCCCCATCCCAGTCTCCTTACACGGGGTTTATTTTGCAATTTAAGAGTTAAGTGTTCTTGGGCTGGAAAGATGGCTCATCGGTTAAGAGCACTACCTGCTCTTGAAGAGGACTTGGGTTTGATCCCCAGCTCCCACATGGTGGCTAGCAACTGTCTGTAACTCTAGTTCCAGGGAACCTAAACGCCCTCTTCTGATCTCTGAGGGCATTGCATGACAGAGGTACACTTACATGCAGGCAATACTCTCATACACACAAAAATAAAAATAATAAAGTATTTTTTAAAAAAGAGGTGTTCTGGCAAAATCTCAGTCTCAGGATCCCATAGAGTCAGAAACTGTCTTTAGCTCTGTGGTCACGTCTTTCTGACTGTAGATTGTTCTATTCATGATTTCAAAAAAGCCATGGCCATATGTGGTGGCACATGTCTGTAATCCCAGCAATTGGTTGCTGAGGCAGGAAGATTGCCATGAGTTTGAGGCCAGCCTGGGTTACACAACAAGATACTATCTCTTTTAAAAAAAAAACAAGCTGGGCGTGGTGGCACACGCCTGTAGTCCCAGCACTTGGGAGGCAGAAGCAGGCAGATCTCTGTGAGTTCAAGGCCAGCCTGGTCTACATAGTGAGTTCAGGACAGCTGGGGCTACAGGGAGACCCTGCTTCAAAAAGACAAAAAAAAAAAAACCCACCCAGCTTTTGTCTCAGTCAGTAGTTATTACAGGCATTAGTCATTTCTTTGCTCAATACTATTCTTTGTGTCATTTGAGGTAGACCTTGAAATATGGGGCAGCGATAGATATTTGGGTCAGAAGAGTTGTCTCTGTTTCCTTTGGGCTAGCTTCAGTTTCCTGGTTTGGAAGATAAAGATGGGTAAAAACAGTAATAAGTTCTTAGAAGGGTGGTTGTGAAGATCAAATATGGTGAAAGAGAAGTTCTTTGCAAATGCTAAAATACTATTGGTGGTTCTCAGTAAAGGTAGCGATGTTACTCCAAGCCATGGGAAAGAGGCAGTGATGAGACATGAGTGTGGGAAATTCAGTTCATGTCTAGGGAATATTGGAGTTGCCCATTTTGGGCAGAGTGCAAGTTGTAGCTGGAAATAGTGGTTGGGACCACATTGATTCAGGCCTTGAATATCAGGTCAGTGAAAAGCTAGAGGGGACTATTAATTGGAATGTGGCCTAGCAAAATTAATCTTGAAGTGGGCGTATAGTTGGATTAGAAGAAAAAGAGTCTGGTGGTTAGGAACACAGAAGAATGATGTGGTATGAGGGCATAAAAGGGAAGAAGAAACTTGAATTAGAGAGGTGATGGTGTGTTGCAAAGGAGGGGCTGGCTAGAATGGCCCATAGGAGGGAGATACCAGTCTATGTGTCCAGTTAATGTGAGGGAAGGGAAAATGAATTTCAAATGTCTCTGAGATTTTTCAGCCATTTATGACAGAATTTTGATTATTGATTGAGTCTGTTGTGCTACAGATAGACTCACGTTGGTCATTTGGAAGTTTGCATTAGATAATTGTAAATTCAGAAGTATTTTTTCAAAGGAGAGCTTGAGACTGAAGCTAGAGATCTGGAAATTAGTCTTGTTGAGGTTGAAACCAGGCACCACACCTCTGATAATGTGCCAGGAGGAAAGAGAAACGCTACCAATGGAAGCCTGGAAAAGAATGTCCTTATCTCAGGAACTCAAAAGAAAGAGCAACAAAATTTTAGACTTTATTCTCCTCATTTATTTAATTTATTTTTTAGTTATTCAAAACTCACTTGAATTTACCTTTGCAGGAAATCTATGTGCAAAATACCTGGATGCTTCTTGAGTGACATTGTCACATCTAAACAATATTCTGGAAGGAAGTTCAAACGCAACAAGGAAGAGCTGGTTCATAAAATCTACACACTACTTAACCACACTGTCTTTGACAGCAAGGTAGAGTCAATGAGTAAGCTTTTACTGAATACCTCCTATATATGTCAGCACTCTTGGGTGCTGTGCCAACCATGCATACTTCCTGTCCTGGAGAAGTGTTAGTTTAAGTAGGGACATGAGGTATGCGTATGTGAAAAAGAATGTTTATGGGTTATGCTGTATGGAACAGATGGCTATTACAGCAGGAGGTTAGCACAGTGAGAATGGCACAAAGGCTTGAGAAGTCAGAAAGTAGGATTTCCAGGAAGAGGTGAGGTTCCTGCTTCTTGAAGGATGATAATAAGTAGAGCAATGAGGGAGAGGACCTGTGTTGAGGCCTGAGCACCTGGCAGAGAGGATAATGGGAAGGAGCTGTGTGAACCTGGGCAAGTTCCTTAACCCCATTTTGCCAGTATGTTCTGTAAAGTGGGGCCAGTAACAGTACAGTCATCCTTCTGTGCCTATAGGAAACTGGTTCTGGTACCTCTGAAAAATGTCAAAACCTACAGATGCTTAAATCCCTTACATAACATGTCCTCTGAGCAACATCCTCCTCTATGCTTCAGAATCATCTCTGCTACTTTATACCTAATGTGATGGAAATGCCATGTAGTAAATAACTATAATCTTCGATAGAGACTAATGGCAAGGGAATATCTGTACATATTCAAAACAGATACAATTTTTTGTTATTTATATTTATTTTTGACAGTTTTGTACTTATATAATAAGTTTTTGTTGTTTTTCAAATATTTTTGATCTGTAGGTGGTTGAATCCAAGTTATAGAATCCTTGGATACAGAAACAGTTGTACTTACCAGTTTAGAATTATTGTTAGAACTATAACAATACTGTTTTATTGAACAATTGTTAGAACTATTTCTCTTCATAAAGTACCTAGAACAGGGCATAGTGACCTCTCCTTATTTTCTAAGTGCAGATGGCCTTGGGAATCAGGTCGGGGTTTAAATCAGTAGGTGCTGGTGCACGGGAATGTGACGTGACAGGAAGCAGTGCTGAAAGATGTTTATCTGACAGTAGCCTGGCATTATGGACTGAATTAGGAAGACTCAAGAGGCAGAGACCTGTTGGCCATTCTTTTTGTTCACTTTTTTTTTTTTTTTTTTTTGCCATGCTTCCCTCATGCCAGGAAAGCACTTTACCACTGAGCCAAACCACCAGCCATACGTCATTACGGGTTTGGTTTTGTTTTTCAATCAGATTTTATAGTCTTATGACAAGACTTTCCAGAGGGAAGTTCTGATATCCTAAAGGTTCTTCCCCCTTTGGTATCCTTCCTGATGACAGCGGCGTTACAGCAAATGAACGGAACCCAAAAGTGTTCTGAGTTGTACATATGCACAAGTTTCTGGCTGGCTGACCTTAACAGGCTGTACTTCTCTCCTTGGCTGCTCCAGACTTGGCTCCATGCATTCAAGCACAAAATCCTCCATTCATGTGGCCTCAACAGTCTCCCTTGTGTCCTATTAATTCTCCTTACCTGAACTTCAACTTGGCCCTCATTCTTTCCAGGATGTTTAGATTTGCATGCTATTTGAATAGATTTCTCTTCAGTGTACTCAGAGCCAAGAACCTAGGGGAGAAAGTTTCTCTTATCTTTTATTAGAGGGGGAAAAACTCGTTCATACTTTCTGATCTGCTTAGAACTGCTTTTGGGGGACTGAAGAGATGACTCAGTGGTTAAGAGCACTTACTGCTCTTGCAGAGAACCCAAGTTCAGTTCCAACAGTCACATTGTGGCTCCCAACCACCTGGAACTCCAGTTCCAGGGATCTGAAGCTCTCCTCTGGCTTTTGCAGCCTCCTGTACACCCATGGTGCATATACACTCTCAAGTGGGCTCACTGTATCCATTAAAGTAAATAAATAAATAAATAACCTTTAGAATTGCTTTCTGATACTTTTTATTTGCCTTTCATTCTCAGATGCCAGAGAAAATAGAGATCACTTGGAACAAAAAGATGCTGCAAACTGCTGGTTTGTGCACTACTAAGGAGAGACAGCAACCCAAGAGGGAGCGCTATGTCCAGATTGCCATTTCTCAGAAAGTTTGCGATTCTCCAGGTGATTTCAGGCGTGTGGTAGTTGTACCTCAGCACTCTGTCCTTAAATGACAATGGTAGCCTATTGTCATAGCTCGAACTGTCATTTCTAGATAGACAGGCCTTCGGTGTAGTGCTTAGAGGACATCATTATTGGCTGTCTCACCGTTCCTAAGAATCCAAAATATCAGATTCCTTGCCAGGCCTGGCTGCATATTTCCCTTGCCAGAGCCAGCATTTTCATTCTCTCAGTAGTCAAGAATCAAGGTACCCTCTCTAGCCAGTCATCAATCCTTTCTTCCCCAGCTTTGCCTTTGCCTAAATCTGGGCCCTCATCCCCTCCTTCTTCTCCCTGCCCGCTCAAGTCTTTTGTATACCACTGTGTTGCCTTCCTTCTCAGAGCCTGGTTTTTGAGGCCTTTGTAATCCGCTCTGGCATAACATGGCCCATCTTACCTCTCACTATTCCACTGCTAGCCCGTGCTGCAACCAGACCCTTCACACTGGCCCTCAAAATGCAGCCCATGCTCTCCTAGATCCAGTCCTTGCTCACTTTCCACCTTCTCCCACATGCCCACCCCCACCATATTGGGCATTACACCCATGGCTTCACACATGCCATATAAATATTGGGCCATTGAATTGCAGCTGAAAACCTTATTAACTCTTAGGAAACAAGGGTTTAGTTTTGTTTCTGATACGGTGTCTTACTATGTTGCCCAGGCTGATCTTGAACCTGTGGGCTCAGGCGATCCTCTTATCTCAACTTCTTGAGTGAGTAGCTGGGACTATAGGTGTCTGCCACTATACCCAACTTTGAATGACCTTTTGCGGTGGGGGTGGAAAGGAGCAGGTGTTAACCCAGGTTTTCGCTCTGTAGCTCAGGCTGACCTGGTACTCACCATGTAGTCAAGCTGACCTTGAACTCCTGCATCAGCCTTCCAAGTGCTAGGATTACAGGAGTGAGTCACTGTTTTATTTTATTTTGTTTGCTTTTTGTTTTCTGTTATTGTTGTTTTGAGACAGGGACTTACTATGTAACCCAGGCTGGCCTCAAACTTGGGGTAATCCTCCTGCCTCAGCCTCCCAAGGGCTGGGACTACAGGTTTGTGCCACTATACCTGGCTTGAATGACCTTCCTAATTGTAATTTCAGTCAGTTGTTGAGTCCAGCTCAGAGCCAGTGAGATGGCTCAGCAGGTAGAGGTGCTTACTGCTAAGCCTGCTGATCTGAGTTTGATTCCTGGTACCTACATGGTAAAAGAAAGAACTGACTCCCACAAATGATCCTCTGACTTTCATAAATGTGCTGTGGTATGCATGTGCAGAGAGAGAGAGAGAGAATAAAATTTTTAAAAATATTTTATTTATTATTTTTATTTTATGTGTATGAGTGTATTGCCTGCATGTATGTAAGTGCATCCATATCGTGCAATGCCTGTGGAAGTGGACAAATGGTTGTTAGTCACCATGTGGATGCTAGGAATTGAACCTGAGTTCTCTTAACCACTGAGAGATGGCTCAGTGGTTAAGACCACTGATCTGTTTTGCATAGGACCCAGGTTTGAATCCCAGCACCCACATAGTAGTTAACAACCATCCATAACTCCAGTTCCAGGGGATCTGACACCATTTTCTGACCTCCGTGGGCATTGCATAACACGGGTGCACCTACCTACATGTAGGCAATACAGTCATACACATAAAATAACAGAGTAAAATTAAAAAGAGTATAGGACAAAAAATTTATTTTTTAAAAAGTTTTTAATATTTATTTATTAATTTAATTTTGGTCTTTTTTGAGTCAGGGTCTCCCTGTAGCCCCAGCTGTCCCGGAACTTGCTATGTAGACCAGGATGGCCTCAAACTCACAGAGATTCTCCTGCCTCTGCCTCCCAAGTTAAAGGATTAAAGGCATGCACCAACGTGCCTGTCGAGTACAGGTCTTAAAAATATTTTATTTATTATTTTTTGTGTATGGGTATATAGCCTGCATGTATTATGTAAGTGCACTCATGTCATGCAATGCCTGCAGAGGTCAGAAGAGGGCATTTGGAGTCCCTTGCAACTAGACATACAGATGGTTGTTAGCCCCCATGTGGGTTCTAGGAATCGAACCCAGGTCCTCTGCAAGAACAACCAGTGCTCTTAACCACTGAGCCAATTCTCCAGCCCCCTTGTTTCTTTTTTTTTTTATAAAGCTTTTTTTTTTTTTGGGTGGGGGTGTCTTTTTGGGACAGGGTCTCTCTGTTGCCCCAGCTGTCCTGGAATTCACTATATAGACCAGGCTAGCCTTGAACTCACAGAGATCCACCTGCTTCTGCCTCCTGAGTGCTGAGATTAAAGGTATGTGCCACTATGCCTGGCTAAAAAAAATTTTTTTAAGAGCCCTGCTCAGATTTGTATCTCACCCTGAGCTTCTGGTGACTAAATCCCATGGCCATAGTAAATGCCTCCCACAGGCCACTTTTATCCCTGGAGGGAAGAAACCCAGTCTGTCCAGTTGTGTTTCTAGCAGTGCCCCACACAAAGATGGACATGCTACAGCTGTTCCCAAAAGACATGTTTGCCTAAGGCTCTTCCATTAACATCAGCTTGATTGATCTAGGTGTAAGTTTCACTTCTAGAATCTCAGGAGGGTTATACTCACAGCTGCCTATGTATGCCTCTGTGAGATGGCTTTGTATTTGGTGGGGGTGAAAGTCAAGGGCTTGTTAGGTGGCACATCTAGAAGAGAATCCATTTTAGTGCTCACGATGATTTCCTTTCATTTCTGTTGCAAGATCGGATCCGGGATACCTTGATCCATGAACTATGCCATGCAGCCTCCTGGCTTCTCGATGGCATCCGTGATTCTCATGGCCACTTATGGCAGTACTATGCCCAAAAATGTACTGCAGTACATCCAGAGCTGCCTGAGGTCACCCGTTGCCATAACTACGCGATTAACTATAAGATTTATTATGAATGTTCTCAGTGCAAATTCAGGTAAGACCTTTCTTCTCATACTTTTTCCACTTCCCTTGTCACTCCAGCCTCTAGTGGCTGCTTGCTTATTTTTGTAGCACTGGGGATTGAACTGAGGGCCTCGTGCATGCTAGACAAGCACTCTACCCCTGAGCTACATTACCAGCCCTCTTTTTTGTTTTTATTTTGAAACAGGGTCTCAGTAGGTTTTGTATGCTGGCTTTGAACTAGGTCTGTAGCTCAGGCAGGCTTTGACCTTGTAATGATCCTCCTGCCTCAGCCTCCCAAGTGGCAGGGCCAACAAGCTCTTTAATAGTTTGGTCTGTCTGTCTTGAGGAGTGAACCTTGCTATTTCTATGTTCTCCTCCATTGTCTCCCCATATTTGAGCTGGCCTGACCCTTCCACTGCTTGGGGCTCCTCTCTCAGAACCCACAGAAAATTCTTGCTTTGGGCCCAAGGAGCTGATACTGAGGCGTGGTGACTGATTCTTTTGTTGTGTGGTGTCCCCTTCCTTGCTAGGGTCGGCCGCTATACCAGATCACTGAACACTAAACGCTTCATCTGTGCCAGATGCAAGGGGCATCTGGTGTTGCTGCCATTATTTCGCAAAGATGGAACCCCGATTGTGCCCCATGTGAGACCATTTGCCAAATACGTGCAGGAGAATTACAGAGCAGTGTTTAAGGAGACAGCAGGAATCAGCCATGGGGATGTGATGAAAAAACTCAGCAAGAATTATTTTGCCAGTAAACAAAAGAAAGATCCTTAAGATTGTCCTGTACTGTATTCATGTGAGCCAAATCCTTTACTGGGAGGAGGTTTTAGAAAACTGTTTCTGTAAAGCCAAGACATTTGAAAAAACATAAATTTGTTTTCTAATTTGTTATTAATGTTTATTCTTAAGAGTTCTATTGCTAAGTACTTAGCCCTTAACAGCACTTGAAACCCTTCGGGTGTATCTTGGATCTTAACTTTGACTACATAGTTTTAACATGTGGAACAAAACACAGAAGGAAAAGAGTTTTCCTGAGGGGGAGATGAGAAAATGAGAATGTTGTTGGAAAGAGAATTAATTTGTAAACTAGGGCTGAAGTTTGACCTATTAACACCTACCTATATATGAAAAGCCACTGTTTCATTCATTCCAGCTGTGCATGACATTGAGTGGTGCTGTCTAAGCCATGTAATTATTCAGAAAACAGATGTTTATCTTGCTTCTTGTTTCTCTTATTTTTGTGACTGTCCATACGTGCCTCAACAGACTCTATCCCTGTCCAGGGTGTGGATTATACCCAACATTGTGTTCTTTGTTGCCACAATGAATCACCACAAACTTAGTGGCTTGGAGCAACACAAATACATCATCTTACAGTTCTAGAGGTCAGAAGCCTAAGATGAGCCACCCTGGGCTATGATCAAAGTATCCACAGGACCTTTGTTTCTGGAGACCCCCTTCTTTGTCTTTTCAGGTTCCCAAAGCCCAAAGGTCTCACAGTCCCTGGTTCATAGCCTCTTCAAAAATAGCATCTCTTCCTTTTTTTTTTTTTTTTTTCGTCTTTTTGAGATGGGGTCTCCCTATAGCCCCAGCTGACCTGGAACTCGCTATGTAGACCAGGCTGGCCTCAAACTCACAGAGATCTGCCTATCTCTGCCTCCTGAATGCTGGTATTACAGGCATGCATGTGCCACCATGCCCGGCTGCATCTCTTCCTCTTATCCCTTCTCCTTTTCTGCTTCTTCCTTCACTTTCATAGACTCTTAAGATGACACTGGGTCCACCTAGATGATCTAGGGGAATCTTCTTTTTACACACATATGTATAGGTAGGTGGACATGTGTATGTGTACAGCTAGAGGCCAACAGTAAACCTTGGCTATAATTCTCAGGAGCTGTCCGCCTTTTTTTTTAAAAAAAAAATACAGGATTTCTCATGTGAACCTAGGGTTCTCTTAATTAGGCTAGGCTGGCTGGCCAGCAAGTGCCTACGATCTTCCTGTCTCCACCTCCCTAGCTTTGAGAATACAAAAGCACAATACTGTGCCCAGCTTTTTATGCGGCTGCTAGGGATCAAACTCAGGTCCTCCTGCTTATATGGCAAGAACTTTACCAACTGAGCTGTCTCTTCAGCCTGATTATTATTGCTGTTATTATTATTATTATTTTAGGGTTTTTTATTTTGTGAGACAGGGTCTCCCTATGTAGACCAGGCTGGCCTCAATCTCAGAGAAATCTGCCTGCCTCTGAGATCGCCAGAGGCAGGGATCAAAGATGTGCACCACAACAGCAGGCTCTATTAGTAGTTTTTTTGAGACAGTGTCTCATATAGCCCTGAACTTTCTGGTTTTTTGAAAAATATTTTAGTATTTTTATTTTATGTGTATGAGTGTATTGCCTGAATGTATGTAAATGCACCCATATCATGCAATGCCCGTGGAAGTCAGAGCAGGGTGTCAGATCCCCTGGAACTGGAGTTATGGACAGTTGTTAGCCACCATGTGGGTGCTGGGAACCAAACCTGGGTCCTCTGCAAGAGCAGCCGGTGCTCTTAATCTCTGAGCCATCTCTCCAGCCCCCCTTGTTTTGTATTACATTCATTTATTTAATTTGGGGGGAAAGGGCATGTTTGTGGTTTGTGCTATGGCCTACAAGTGTAGACCACAGGACTTGTGGGAGTCAGTTCTCTTCTTCCATATACCACCATGTGGGTACTGGGGATTGAACTCAGGTTGTTGGGCTTGGTGACAAGCACCCTTATTCATCGAGCCATCTTGCCTGGCCCTGACCTTGAAATGTTTATAGATTGCCAAGCCAGGTCATAAACTCCTGATTTTCCTTCCTCTGCCTCCCAACCACTGGAGATTACAGGTATGTAGCACCAGTTGATTGACAAATTAGCAGCCTCTAATCCCTTTTGTCATGGTGGTTTTTGTTTTTTGTTTTGTTTTGGGTTTTTTTTTGTCTTTTTGAGACAGAGTCTCCCCATTTTCCCAACTGGCTCAGAACTCGCTATGTAGACCAAGGTGGCCTTGAGCTCACAGAAATCTGTCTTCTTCTCCCTCCTGAGTGCTGGGATTAAAGGCCTGCACCACCACACCTGGAGCTTGCTTGGTTTTATTTCGACAAGGTTTTAATATATAGCCCTGACTGGCCTGAACTTGTTAGGTAGACCAAGCTGGCTTTGAACTCATAGAGATTCTCCTGTCTCTGCCTCCCAAGTGCTGAGATTATAGGTGTGTGACAACACACCCAGCTGTTTGCTTCTTTGAGACAGGGGTCTCCTTACATAGCCTAGGCTAGTCTCAAATTTACTATGTCATCCAAGCTAGCCTTGCCTCAGCCTCCCAAGTGCTGGAATTACAGGTGCGTACCACCTACCTGCCTCTTCCCTTTTGTCATGTAAGGTAACCTAATCACAAACTCTGGGGATTGAAACATGGATATCTTGAAGGGCCCATTTTCTTTGGCCTGCCACAAATAATGCTTATCTTAACCAGTCTACCATTACTGATAGTTTTTATAGTCAAGATACATTATTTTGACATTTTCCTCATTTTACAAAAGCTTCCAGAGTTCTCCTTTTCTCCCAGCCTCCAGCATGTCTGCAACTTTATCAAGGCCCAGCATGTCAGACTCGGTCATGACACATCTCTGACTTCACTAAGAGAAACTGACAGTGCAGTGGTCCCCTTCACCCTCTGCCTTAACTCAGTAGCTTTGTTACCTGCCCTTTTCAGAAAATTTGTTTATTTTTTCTACTCAGCACTAGCCATTAAAAAAAAATAAATGTTCCCTGCTGCCCACCTCCTGGTGGGCTGCATGATAATGACTGCTAGTAAGTCATCAGGCCCTATTGTCTTTTTTGTTTGTTTGTTTTTTGTTTTGGTGTGTGTGTGTGTGTGTGTGTGTGTGTGTGTGTGTGTGTGCAGGTGTGCAAGGGACAGAGGAGGATGTTGGGTGCCCCCTTCTATTGCTTTCTGCCTTATTCCCTTGAGATGGTATCTCACTGAACCTGGAGCTCGCTTCCTCAGCTCCACTGCAGGCTGGCAGCCAGACAACCTGCCGCCAGTGTTGGGGTTATAGGCTTTTTACATAGGTGCTACTGGTTGGAACTTGGGTCTTCATATTTGTGCAAGTGTTCTTGTCCACCGAACCATCGCTCCAGCCCCACCGTTGCTTTTTCACAAGCCCATTTCCCCAGTAACAGCCCACGTCACCCAAATTACGCAGCCTTTTGTGATCCCATTACCTTATCCCATACTGGCCTGCAGTCTCATCTTCAGTCCTTCCTCCTGTCCAAACCCTTAACTCCAACTAGCTGACACCTCTTCTGATCCCTCCCCCCAAAACATTGCTATTTTCAGCTATTGCACCTCTGCTACTGTCCTACCTTCTGCCTAGAAATTAAATACTCCTTTCTTCTCATTTACTTGGAAATGCCACTTGCTGGTTAGTCTCCACAAAGCCTCCCCAGATGGCTCCTGCCTTCCTGCTCAGCCCTGGCCTTGGCATGTGCTGAAGATTGCCTGCTATTTGCTAGATCTTACCACTCCTTTCTAACTGGGTTGAGCTGCTGGTGTGCAGGAAGAACAAAGGCTTATTCACATATGTTGTACCGTTCCCCAGAGTGTGCCGAGCCAGCTGCTTAACTGCTCACTGCCACCACCCAAGCCATCAGGGTATTCAGCAGCTCCACCAGGCAACCGGGGGCCAGCAGGGGGCAGAGAAGAACCCAGGAGGACAGGGAGACAGATCCAGGACTAGGCAACCAGGAGGGTAGAATCAGGAAATGAACTCCTAAGCCCGGTGAGGGCTGGCCTGAATGATGACTGCAACACCCTGGTTCTCAGCTTGTTTATTGAAAAATTTAAGCAGGGTTTTAGACATAAAAGTGGGCAAATACTGAGATGTTATGGACCACAGCCATTGTCAGTGCTCAGTTAGAGCCTGTCTCCCTATGCTGTTTGCCTCAAACTCCCTTCCCATAGGGAGGGCTGAATTTTACTTGCTGAGTTGGAAAGGTAGTAGGGCTTCAGGCAGCCCACTCTGAGCTAGCAAGATGGGACTTGGCAGCTAAGGAGCAATAATGATGTTGCCCCCATTGCTAGGAAATGGTTCTCAGGAGAGCTGGAGGTGCCAGAGCTGCCAGTGAGTCCTAGGGGCCAAGGTTATGGGAGAGCCAGAGCCAGCCCAGACACAATGGGGGTTGAAATCTGGAGCACAAGGGGAGCCAGGCTGAAGCCCTCATTCCAGACTTATAAGCCCAAGTAGGAGGCCTCTGTGGTCTCAGACCAGGATGAATCTCTACGGGAAGATGACGCCTGCCTCTGCAGCCCCCTCTGGTCAGATCCACCCAGGCGCATGAGCAACATCCACATTTGCTCTCTGAACTTGACCCCCACAAAGGCATAAAGCAGTGGGTTGAGGCAGCAGTGCATGTAGCCCATGCCCGAGGTGACTGACTTGGCCACATCCACGTGGCTTTCTCGGCCACAGTTGCGGGCCAAAGCCCCCATATCCATGAGGATGTCTACTAGTACCACCAAGTGATAGGGGGTCCAACAGACAGCAAAGGCCACTACCACCACCACCACTAGCCGCATAGCCCGAAAGCGCCGCTGGCCTCTGGAGACCAGCAGCACAGCCAGGATACGGGCATAGCAGTAGGTCATGACCAGCAGGGGCAGCAGGAAACCAGCCACCAGCTGCAGTACACGCAGAGCTGTGCGGCCCACCTGTGGGAAGTTGTACTGGCAGTGGGTAGCATTGAGGCGCTGATCATAACTGGCTGACAGAAAGATGAAGTCTGGGAGGGCAAAGAGCAAACAGAGGCCCCAAACAGCTATGCAGGTGAGGGCTACGTGTGCCCGGAGGCCCCGGCGGTAGAGCTGGGTGGCATGCACTATGCTCAAGTAGCGGTCGAAGCTGATGCAGGCCAGCAAGAGGGCTCCCGCATAGAAGTTGATGTTGAAGAGGGCACCTGCCACTTTGCAGAGGCTAGAGCCGAAGATCCACTGGATGGCAGCGTCCACTGCCCACAGTGGGAGCGTCAGCACCAGCAGTGCATCTGCCACGGCCAGGTGGAGCAGGAATGTGTCTGTACTGCTCAGGGCTGCACGCTGGCTCAGTAGCACAGCCGCCACAGCCCCATTGCCTAGAAGCCCCAAGAGAAAAAGGAGGCTGTAGAGGGCCGGTAGGAAGGCTCTGTCAAAGTTCAGGCTGAAGTCCTGTGGACAGGGCAGGGAGTTTAAGTCGCTCTCATTTTCCTCATAATCGTAGGAAGAAGTACTGTTTTCCAGAAGAGAGGCCAAGTAAGAGGCGTCTAGCACTTGGTGTTCACTAACCTGCCGAAGAAGGGAGGAAAGGAAAGGAAGCCATCCTTCGTTAAGGCCTAGCAACCGTCCTGCCCCTTTGTGACTTGTCACTTAGTCTGCTGAGTGTTTCTCCCCGGACTGGACTGTCACTTCCTTTCTTCGGGGCCCATCCTCCTGAACCCCATCTGCCCAGCCTGGGATGGTGGCTTCCCTTCACACTTGCCCTTCTGGGCTATCACATAGGCCAGGGATCTTTGACAGGGGGAGGAGCTTTCGTCTAGGTTCCAGAGCCTTCCAGAAGCTTTTCTTTTTCCCTTCACCTCTACTTTTCATGGCTCGTTGGTCTCAAAGCTGTGGCAGGGCCTGGATTAACCACCTGCTTCCCCAGGCGCCTCCTCCTACTCCCATTTCCCAGTCATTTCCCTCTTCAGACCTTATCTGGGGACCCTGACTTCCAGCCTCTCATGGAGCTTTTCTGTAAATCACTATGCACCCACCTATACACTAAGCCTACTTCCCCTCCCCTATACAGAGGCTTGTACAACCGTTTAGGAATCCACTGAACTCCCCACCCAAACTCTAGTAGGAGTTTCTTGAGATGGGGTCTTCCCATGATGGCCAGTCTGGTCTCAAACTCCTGGGCTCAAGTAAGCCTCCTGCCTCTGGCTTCCAAGTAGCTGAGATTATAGATAGAAATGTGCCAGTATACCTAGGTAGTAGCAATCTTCTTTCCCCTTCACCCCAACCCAAACCACTCCAGAACTAGAGATCAGCAAGGTTGAGCCTCTATAAGCCCCCTCCACTTTGCACGATCAGATGTGGCACCCAAGCCACAGAGGGAGGAGAACTGGCCTGTGGTCAGTGGCCAGGCTGGGTTTCCAATTCCCTGTAGTGCACCTAACATAACCTCTGCCACTTCAGGCTGGTTACTTGGCTTTCTGGTGCCCTTGGCTATGGGCCGTACCTGGCTTGTACCTAGTACCCTGGGATGGCCACTCAGAGCTATAATCTGTCTGGCTGGGCAGCAGAACTTACCTCAGGGTACATGGCTGGGCTGATGCTCCGGCTGCAGCTGCCTGGGTTGTGTGCTGCCTGCCTTCTCTGCTTTGACACTTGTGGTTGGGAACTTGCAGTGAACAGAGGAAGTGAAGGTTTCACTGCTGGGCACAGCCTCTTCCAGAGGGTTATCTAGATCAGACCTCCACAGAGTTCCTTTCCAGCTATTTCTGTGGCCAAGTGAAGCCACTTTAGGGGAGCTAAAGTGAACCTGGAGCTGTTACAAATCTCAGGTTCTTTTCCTACTCGGCACCATTCACAGATAACTAAGCATTTCTAGTAGCAGGCAAGAAATGTGATTTGATGGGGGAAGGGACACTTGACCTCTAAAGGTACCGTCTCTCCTAGAGTGGATTTTCACTAGGGCTGGGTTATAGTGGGATGTGATAAGAATGCTGTCATCAGAACCTTGCATGGGAAGGGAGGAGATTTCCTGAGATCAGGAGGCCACTTTTCTTCCCTAATTTGAGCATGGTTGGATCTGACCTTGCATTGGTGGGTGTTTTTTTTTTTTTTTATTATGGGATTATAATGAACCCAAAGTCATGAGCTAAAGTGAACCTGGAGCTGTTACAAATCTCAGGTTCTTTTCCTACTCGGCACCATTCACAGATAACTAAGCATTTCTAGTAGCAGGCAAGAAATGTGATTTGATGGGGGAAGGGACACTTGACCTCTAAAGGTACCGTCTCTCCTAGAGTGGATTTTCACTAGGGCTGGGTTATAGTGGGATGTGATAAGAATGCTGTCATCAGAACCTTGCATGGGAAGGGAGGAGATTTCCTGAGATCAGGAGGCCACTTTTCTTCCCTAATTTGAGCATGGTTGGATCTGACCTTGCATTGGTGGGTGTTTTTTTTTTTTTTTTATGATTATGGGATTATAATGAACCCAAAGTCATCTGGAGTGTCATCATGGTGTCCAGAACTGTTCTGCAGCACTCTTAGGCAACTGGAAGTATGTGATAACTTGGTGGCTGGCAGCTGGGAACTTCTGGTGCAAACAAGCAACACAGCTAATAGGATAATAGGGCAAGAAAGGCTGGGCCCCAGGGAAGGGCCTGGGGTGGTTGGGTGGGTTCTTTGGGTGGGACAGGTTCTTTGAGGAGAGGTCTGAAGCCACTCAATGGGAAAGTAGGGGGCAGCCCCCTTTTTTCCTATAGCATACTGCTCAGTGTTCAGCAAGTTAGACCGTGTGCTCATCTGTCCCAGCGCTGTGCCTGCTTCTACAGACTCAAAGGGTGTGGTCTGGAAAGAACATTAGCCCTCTTTAAATTATTATTTTATTTTTTGAGACAGTGTCTCATTCTGTAGCTCAGGCTGACTTTGAACTCACAGCAACCTTCCTGCTTCAGTCCCCTGAGTGTTGGGATTACTGTATAGGAGTGCACCATCATGAGCCCAGCATTTTGAGGGGAGGTTGGTTTCTTTAAAGTGGATAAACTGCCGGGCGTGGTGGCGCACACCTTTAGTCCCAGCACTTGGGAGGCAGAGGCAGGTGGATCTCTGTGAGTTCGAGGCCAGTCTGGTCTATATAGTGAGTTCCAGGACAGCTGGGGCTATAGGGAGACCCTGTCTCAAAAAGACCAATAAAATAAAGTGTATAAACTAATGTATTCATGCAGGTACAAACAAGTGGCGATCCATCTGCTTATTTTTCACATGTCTGCATGTAGAGGAGCCAATGCCAGTAACAAAATAGTATATATACTTGACACTACTTATGTAAATTCTAGAAATTACCACACAAAGCAATACCATATATGTATTTTCAGTGCTGGGTAGTGGAAACTAGGACCTTACGCATGTTGGTCAGTCTCGATAAGTAAGAACAACTGAGCTACATCCCTAGCTCTTTCTTTCTTTCTTTCTTTCTTTCTTTCTTTCTTTCTTTCTTTCTTTCTCTCTCTCTCTCTCTCTCTCTCTCTTTCTTTTTCTTTCTTTCTTTCTTTCTTTCTTTCTTTCTTTTTTTGAGACAGGGTTTTTCTGTAGCTCCAGCTGGCCTGGTACTCGCTATATAGACCAGGTTGACTTTGAACTCAGAGACCTGCCTGCCTCTGCCTCCGAAGTGCTGGGGTTACAGATGTGTCCACCATGCCAAGCTGCTTTTTCAATTTTAAAAAATATTTTGAGCCAGGCATGGTGGCGGACGCCTTTAATCCCAGCATTTGGGAGGCAGAGGCAGGCGGATCTCTGTGAGTTCAAGGCCAGCCTGGTCTACGTAGTGAGTTCCAGGACAGCTGGGGCTACAGGGAGACCCTGTTTCAAAAAGACCAAAATTGAAAAAAAAAAAAAACTTTGAGACAGGGACTTGCTATGTTATGTAGCCCATTTGAACTCATGACTTTCATGCTTTAGCCTCATACTGAGGTTACAGGTGTGACCCGCCACACTGGGCTGACAGTTTTCAAGCCAGTTGTTCCACCAATTCAGTCCAAGCTTATGACATGACATGCACCTGCCAGAAACCAAGATCCTTCCCGTCTGTGGACAGATGGGACTCTGCTCTGAAATGGCTTGTCACCTGCAGGGTTCAGGCCAAAGGGAACTGAGGTCTTGGAGGACATCAGGAACTATGTAAATGAAGGGGGCCAGGAGGATGTATAAGACATGGCACATGACTGCCTGTGGGGGTGGAGAAGACAGAATCCAGAACCATGCTTTTCCGATGTCTGTCTGTGACTTAAGCAAATAAGAAAAATAGCTGCAAAAAGTTAAATTTGTTTATTTTAAAGGACATAGTCTGTTATTGTGTTCTTCATCCCATTTTTGGTGTTAAAAGGACTTTTGCTTTAGAAATACCTTGTGTTGGTAGAAGCTGGCAATCCAGTGTGGGTCCTTCCAGTGGCTATTGAAATATGACTGGTCCATGTGAAGTGCAAAGATTTAGGGAATCCCTATTCTTCCTGGGGCTCAGGTCTCATTTGTCCCAAGGGCAGGATGATCCCCACCTTCCCAGGTTGCTGGGAGGGACACCTGGCTGAAGGTTAGGTGCAGAGAGCCTTTGTTTTTTTGAAACCTGCTATCCCCTTGTCCGATACCAGCAAGACTCTCATTGCTTCTGGGTGATTGTGACGCCTGGACTCCAGGCCTAGCTAGTTCCACCCCATTCAACCTCTGTGACCTTGGAAAAATTAAAACCACCTTGAACCAGTTTCTTCTACAGAGTTGTTCCAAAATGAACTGAGATAACCACAGCTTTAGGTACCTAGCACAGGGCCAAGGGCTTAGCTTGGGTGCAGCTGAGACTCCTGAATACAGTATTGATCCCAGACCCAGAGCTACCCAGAACCTCCTACATCAGGAGAGCCCATGAGAGAGCAGGTCTCCTGCCCATGCAGGTATGGCCTTGGTTGTGGCTGTGGCCGTGGCCAGAGGGCTAGTTTTCCAAGAAAGTGGTCTCTGGCCTTGGTTGATAGAGCTTTGTCAGTTCTAGCCAAAATTCCCTGGCTGTCCAGCAATGTGACCATATGTGTGGAAAGTAAGTGACAAAGGTGGATGCCAAGTGAGTAGCTAGGTCATCGTCCTCTGGTAACCTATCAAACCAACCCTTCCCAAGCCTCAAAATGGCGGGTTTATGGTGGGCTTCTGCTGTGGCTTGCAACTGAGATGCCCTGGAAGGTTCCTGTGTCACGGGGCTGAGCTAAGTCCTCATCTGACCTTCTAATTTGTTTTTTGTTTTGTTTTGTTTTGTTTTTGGTCCCAAGCAGCTATAGCCAGGCTCTGCCCATCCGAGAGCACAGTCTAGCTAAAGGTCTACAGCCGGAGTTCTGATGTCTGGACCTAGCTAGGTCATCGTCCTCTGGTAACCTATCAAACCAACCCTTCCCAAGCCTCAAAATGGCGGGTTTATGGTGGGCTTCTGCTGTGGCTTGCAACTGAGATGCCCTGGAAGGTTCCTGTGTCACGGGGCTGAGCTAAGTCCTCATCTGACCTTCTAATTTGTTTTTTGTTTTGTTTTTGGTCCCAAGCAGCTATAGCCAGGCTCTGCCCATCCGAGAGCACAGTCTAGCTAAAGGTCTACAGCCGGAGTTCTGATGTCTGGACCCTCCTGCTTCTGAGGATGGGAGGGCTGAGGAGGAAGTTAGTCAGAGTGAAGCCACCTGGGGCCCCACCTGTGGTCTAGGTGTGAATGGTGCACCTGGCTCCTCTCTGCCTCCCCTCCCCCTGTTGTTTTTCATTCTTTCACACCTCTGAGCTGTGGTTTGGGGAGATAGGAGGCTCTGAGATCTACACCTTTGTGCCCAGACCCTCACAGGAAGGAAGGCCCCTACCAGGGACAAGGGCTGTTGGCTCGCTCTTCCTCTCCCCTAGTCTGCCGCTTCACAGCCTCTCCAGCTCCTCACAACCGCCCCTCCTCAGCCTTGCTTCCAAAACTCCGGGACACAGCTGCCAGTCCCAGGTTACCATGAGAGCCTGTCTAGACAAGACCAGAAGCTCCTGAAATCAAGAAGGGGCCCAGCTCCGGGCACCTGCCTCTCATGCTGCTAGGACTGGGGGCGTCCTTCCTGTGGCCCCGTTTCCCAAGGGAAGGAGTACTCAAAGAGGCCCAGGGACTGGGGAAAGTCCGGCCATCTGCCCCTCACTGTGCAGTTCTAAACCCTCCTGGGATTTAAAGTCTTTCTAAGTGTTGAACTCATGTGCTAGGGCCCAAGGAATCAACCAAGTGGGTGATCTACATGCCCAGTGTCAGAACACAATAACAAAGCTTCTGCTTTGGCTTCTTACAGCTAGTGACGGGCCTCTACCAGGACATTACCTAAGAGTCCAGAGCTAATAGACTTGCTGGTGTCAGGACATCTCATCCCAGAGTTGTATATTCTGTTTACCACCCCTTTCCCTGCTTCCTGCCTGGGAATCAGAGAGACTGGCCACAGGTTTTGCTATGAAACTATCCCCTCAACCCCAAGAAATTATAAAAAAGATGCCCTCCCCTGCCACATGGGCTCTGCTTCTCTTCAGAGACTTACCATGCTGTCTATCTCTGGTGCTGGGTCCTAAACTTGGAGCTCCTGTGCCATGCTGTTGTCCCTT